GGGGGGGCGGCGGGCGCGAGGACGCATGCGCATGGCCGCCAGGGCCGGCGGGGGCGCTGCGGGCGGCGCACGGGTGCGGTCGGGGAGAGCCTGGGAAGTGCGTAGTGAGGTCTCCCGTGTGGGAGGGAAGCAAAGATATTTCCATCCTGACAGCCGCCCCGCCCTCTCGCTCCTCAGTTATTTCTTAGTCAGCACCGGCACCTGACGCTTCCACAGTCCCCAAAGCACCGCCTATGTCCACTCACCTTGGGACCAAAATGGCAGAGAGGCCCTTCTCCCTGGGGCTGAATCCACCTCGGCCCCAGATAACCACAGGTGACAAGGTCCACCTCAGAGATGAGCCCCCCCCAAAAAAAAAGAACGCCAAAAAACCTAAAACAGAAAGAAAGGACCCCTCCCCCCTCTTCCCACCCCGTTTCCCACCCCAGCCCTCCTCACAATAACTTGAGAGGTCTAGTTATTACATAAACATCTGTTAACGCGAAATCCATTTACCAAGTACACAGAAGTTGGCTATAAAAAGGCATGCGGCCCAAGGAGAAGTGATACCTAGGTGTTGCTTTCTTTTGTCCCCGAAAAACAATTCCCTCTCTCAGACAGGATGAAGCTGGAATTCTCCGGGGATGATGGAAGGTGGGGCAGGTGGATGTTGGAGGTGAACGTCAGCAGAAGGAAGCGGAAAGCAGGTGGGGGCCCCCCGAGGGGTGGCGCCCCCCACACGGAGGGGGAGGGTCAGAAGACCCAGGCAATGTCCACGCAGCGGGGAGCAGAGTGCAGGAAGCAGTCTGAGGCAGGAGGCTCCTGGCGTCTGCTCCTCTCTCACCCTCTCCTTCAGGGGATCGGGGGATTTATCTGTCCTCCCCTGGGGAGGACTCCAGAAGAGGAGAGATCCGGGAGAGGGACGGGCAGATGCCACATTCCTCTCTACTCCGCCCCTCGTCCTCTCCAGCCCCTGCTGAGCCTACAGCCAAGCGAGACCCGGCCAACAACAGCCAGGGGGTAGGGGGTTTGGGGCCAGCATCCCGGGCACCCAAGCCTGAGGAAGCCCCACTCTGGCAGGGGAGACAGCAAGAGTGAGAGGTAGGCAGGGAGATTTGGCCACTTGCTCTGAAGTCGTGACGCTTCTGTGATCAAGCAGGTTTTCTTGATGCAGGTACAGAGATGACAGTGGTGGTGGTGGTGGGGGCTGACGCGATGGAGGTAATTCCAGCAAAATCCAAGTGGGAGAACCAGCAGCCACGTTCCATAGACAAAGAATGGATCTCCGCAGCACAGCAACGCAGGGACCCGGCCTGGTCCTTCAACTAACTGTAAGACATGGTGTATATGGTGGGCAGTGGGGGTGCTTCTGAGGGTGCTGCGTTTCCACCTGGGCAACCACTGCCCCCTCCTTTGATGGAATCCAGGCTGCCTCCCGTGGCTCCCACCCAGCTCTTCCCCCAGACCTGCAGGCCCGCTCTCCTTCCTGGGGTCTTCCCACCCCACTCTGCAGCTTTTCAGAGGCTGAAGGCAGCAGCCAGCTTCCCTCCATGACCCGCTCCAGGCCGACACCCCCCAATTCCTGTAGATTACCCTGGGGCGGGGGCAGGGCAGGAAGGAGGGGCTCTTACTGGGGCAGGACGGAGGGCGCCCCGGATCTGTGAAAGTGAACGATCTGCCATTTGCCATCCCGACGGTGCCAGACGCGGGTCTCCTCCGACTGGGCGGTGCGGGGGATGCCACCCGCGTCCAGGTACTGCGTGATGCGGATGTAGGCGATGCAGGCCGACTCGTCGCCCATCAGGTGGATGTGGGGATTCAGGATGGTGGTGTGCACGGGCTTGCTGTTCCGGGACCACACTGGAGGAGGGTGGGAGGGGCAGAGGAGATGCAACTGGGTGCCTCCTGCCTCATTTCCTTCACTTTCCCAACTCCCAGCAGCCCTCTCCATGGAGGCCCCTCTGCCTGCCTCATTTGCAGAAGGGGCCTCTGTGACAGGGCTCAGCTACTTGGGAGTCCAGGCAGAACTTCCGAGTAACAGGGCCATCACATCCCAGCTCAGATACAATGGATCTCACCAAATTCTTCCAACGTGGGAATGGAATTTTGGAACCATGGTTTCTCAGACACACAGAAGTATAGGACCAAGATGATGACAGAACCTGTGAGCTTGGAACAGCGTCTCAAACCCAGATCCCTCAGGCAGGCACGTAAAAGAGGGGGCTGAGCTGGGTGTGAGTTGCTAAAGGACCTTTGCCTCTGGGTCAGGGAGACCACAAGGACTGGTGGGGACTGTAGTGAACAGAACACCATATCCCATCTAAAGAGGGCACCTTGTTACACAGTTTCACTCGTAGTTGTTATGAGAGTAAGTGGGACCCGTGTTGCCACACCTGGTTTTTCAAGAGAATCTGGAAGTCTGGATTTTTATATGAAAACTTCAGTTTTCATTATTGGGAACTAATTCAAATTTAAAACATCAAGAAACATATCTGAGTCCACATATAGCCCATGGGCCTCCCATTTGCCACCTGTACTATAAACATATAGAATTGTGGAAACTTGGGGAATATTAGAATTGTAGTATCTTAGAACCTTGAAATTATAAGGATGGCATTGGTGGTCATGGGGTGAGGTCACAGAGCTTCCCAGAGTAAAGGAGGAATGCACAGCTCTTGTAATCACGACAGAATCAACAAAAGTACCTGAAACCAGGTCCCGCTACAGTCGCCACCACCACCACTAGTATTATTATTATTACATTGGTTCTAGAAATTTTCCATTTTTTCATCAGGAAAGAAAACAAAAACATAGAAAGATGGACAGCGGCCGTCAGGATCTGGGGCTTGACAGGAGCACTTCCCTCAGTGTAGCCCACAGGTAGGTCCGAATCACAGGGAGAGCTGATTTAAAACACACATCTCCCTAGCCCACCCCTAGAGATCCCTAATATGAAAAAGCTCCCTTCCCCTTCCCACCCCCTGATTCTGATGCCCCGCTAGGTTTATGAGCCACTTATTTCCTGAAAAGGTAAAATGTCTTTTTTTATTTTCCAGGATTGCAGAAAGCATCCAATAGCACCCACACCCAGGTTTCGGATGAAAGACCCAAAATCACTAAGTCTTAGACATGTAGAATAACAGACCATGAATTCTGGGCTCTCAGACATAGAGTATATAGAGTTTTAGCGTCATAGGCTTGGGAGTGACCTCAGAAATGAGAGGTCACCCAGTGGCCCAACTACAAAATTTGAGGAGGCCTCCATAAACCTCCCTGACAGCATCCAGGGCTGGAGGCACACAAGGCCACCTATTTCAATGTATCCATTTAGCAGATATGGAAACTGAGGTCCAGAGAAGTGATCTGAGTTGTCCAAACTGGGTCAGTTCCTGAAAGAAATGCAGTGGAACCTAAAAGAAGTCAGTCTCCAGGGGGAACTGAATTAGGACAATCTAGAACAATCCCAGAAGAAACAAGCAGAGATTAGCATTGTTGGGAGGACTGGGTCTTGCCACTGTCGGCAAGGGCTCGGGTCCTGAGGGGCATTTGTAAAGAAATGCCTCCCAGTGTGGTGTCTCTTGAATAGATTAGAGGCTTCCAATACCCATCCTTGTGGATAAGATGGGAGACAGGGCCAGGTCTTCAGCAGGAAAAAATAGGCAGCTGGAGGGTGGGACTTGGCCAGGAGCAGGCAGTTACTCTGGGTCCTGCTTTCGTGGGCCCTGCCTTTGAGTTGGCGAGATGTTTAAACCTGGAGTCCAGGGGGCCAGTGCTGAGAAGGGGCAGGCCAATGGCTGCATGGCCTTCTCTTGGTGTTTATTTCCCTTTTGTCATCCCTGAGCTTTAAGAGTTGGGCCTAAGCACAGTCTCTGCTGTGCTTTGTGGGGACTGGCATGTTCACACTGGGAAGATCGCAGTGATCAGTGAGGGAGCTCCAGGTGATAGGGACCTATGGGGTCCAGCCACCTCTCTTCGCATGACAATTTGATCTCCCCGGCTCACCTTGGAGATCCAGAGTCTGATTTATTAAAGGAAGATGTAGCTTCTTTCTTTTGGGGGTTCCCTTGAACCTGTGTACTCTATTGTACTCTATAAAATCCAGTCAGAGCAGGAGGGGAGTGTCAATCCCAACTGGGGGCTGCTAATGTGCAGATAGAGTAGGTGGTATGGGGAAGGAAAGGGATACTGGAGGGAGTCAGGTCCAGGTTCTGCAACCAGCTTTCTGAATTCCTTTGGACAAGTCACTTCCCCTCTCTGGGCCTCAGTTTCCCCTTCTGTGTGATGAAGTGTGGGACTAGATCCTACTTCAGTCACTGAAGTACTACTTTCTTATTTTCACCATAAACAAGTGCCACCTGTGCTTACTTGAATAAAATATTTCCCCGAATTGGGGGCCAGCCTGTGGCTCACTCGGGAGAGTGTGGTGCTAATAACACCAAGGCCACAGGTTCAGATCCCATATAGGGATGGCCGGTTGGCTCACTGGGAGAGCGTGGTGCTGACAACACCAAGTCAAGGGTTAAGATCCCCTTATCAGTCATCTTTAAAAAAAAAAAGAAAATTTCCCTGAATTGATAAATTTACTAATTTATATAAATGCATTTAAAAAAAAACTTTCTAGCATAATCATTAATGAACACTTAGTATCACAGAATAAAAATTTAATAAGCCCAGTAAAAACAAAATTAGGTTATATAATCCTTGCTCCATGCTCTTGCCTGCAAAAGATCTGAGCCTGAGATTTGCTTGCTCTTTGATAAAGAGGGAAATTAGGAAGTGTCAGAGAGGTGTTAAAGACAGGTTAGCATTCAACTGAGCCTTTCCCCTTGATGGAGCCAGAGTATTGAAAGAGAATTAAAAGAATTATTGAAAGAGAGCTTTCTCACTGTGTAAACCAATGCTGTTTTAAGTGGTGCCTGTATACATCTGAAATCACATTGTGTAGTCTCAGTGGTACATGTCCTTCACTTTTGGGGACCCTGCACATACCACCTCTCAGGTCTTTCCTCCTGGTCCTCAGCTATGTGGTTTTAACCTGTGTGCCCTTGGTTCATCCCTGTCTGACCTGGCCTAGGTGGGACACAGACACAGGCAGAAAGTGCCCTAGGTCAGGCCCAGTCTCAGCCCCCCAACAGCCCCTGGTTGCAAAGCTGCCAAAGTCTCTTCTGCAAAGGAAGGGCCTAGGAAGGACAGGCATGCAGGACAGAGATCTAGACAAACACGCAGGGCACAGCAGTGTGAGCTCACTGTCCTCTCCTCTTTCCCAAAATGCCCACCGACCAACTTTCCAACTGTGTAACAACCCACAGTCAGCTTGTGACCAGCTGGGCAGCTGGGATGGCCTCAGGCATCAAGATGACTGTAACTTGGGTATGTGAGCCAATGGGAAGGCCCCCTTATGTATAAAATGGGAATAAAAGTCCTCCCCAGACCGCTCCCAGGATCATGGGCAGGAGAGGGCTGGGAGGACTTGTCACGTGTGTCCCTGGTCTCTGGGACCCCCCTTGCCCCATCCTCAGCCAGGGGAGGGACAGCTGGCAGTCAACAGGCCAGGGTGAGGAGAGGGAAACCAAGAGGGTACCAACCCCTGTCCACATGGGATCTTCCTCTTCACTGGCTCCTGAGCTGCCCCTGGGGCCCTGCCCCCTCACCCTGCTGTGCCATCCGGCAGGACATGGAACGAGAGCAGACAACAGGCACCCCAGAGATAAGGGATTGCTCACAGTTTTCAAAATAGAATCGATGGAAGTCCAGGCCCTCGACCAGGTTCCCCAGGGCCTCAGGTTCGAAGGCTGTCATCCCGGGGTCGCACATTTTCCTGGGGGAAGGAAGCCAGAGGAAAGAAGGGATGGGGAGTCTTCTACCTGGACCCTAGGAGGGTGAGCCTATGAAATGGGAATAGTGGCACCCACCTCACAGGATCAATGGATGAGGCTGGTGGGTGGGAAGGGGCTTGCAAACCGTAAAGTGTGGGGCATCACTGACTGGTGGGTGCTATCTAGACCTGGGAAGCCTAGGGTTAGGTTTTGGCTCTGTCACTTAATGGTCATGAGACCCCAAGCTTGTGACTTGACCTCTTTAAGCAAGAGCTCCATAAACGGCCATGCAGAGTTGTGCAGCACAGTCTAGGTTCCAGCAGGAATGCAACTCAGCCTGCTCTCTCCTCTCCAGATTGTATGCCCTGGCCCAGGGCAGTGAATCCAGAGGAGGCTTTTCCTGATGTATCTTTCCAGAGGTGGGTGTAGGGGTCCCCTTTTCCTTCACATGAAATGACTTCTGCTCACCAAGCCAGGTTTGTATCTGGAAGGGGTGCATTTTGCTAATTTGAACAAAGGGGCCCTATTGTTAGCAGCAGCCCTGACCTTTAGCCTCAGTTTCCTCTTCTGTGAGATGAAGAAAATAGCATTAGATGAGGTCATATCTGGGGAGAAGGAGCACAGGGCGTGGCCGAGGAGGCACTCAGCAAATGTAGGCTGTGTATTTTCAGTTCTTTGCCCCCTTCCAGGTCAGGCTTCTGGGAGACAGCCAGGCACGGGAAGGGAACAAACTGTCCCCTCATCCCCAGATCTCTGGGATCTTTTGTGGCACCACATAGAACACTGTGACAATAGCAATGAAGCCAGGGACAAGAAATGCCCTGGAACAAGCGAAGCTCCCCATCCAGGGTGGCACTAGAGACACTTGAAAGAGAGTTTCAGGCCCAGATTTTCTGAGCTGGACAAAGCCCTTGCAGGGTGCACTGTCCCTGCTCGGCGCTGTCTGTTTGGGTCACCCCAGTACCTTCCTTCTTCAATCAGGACCTCAAATTTTCCAGGCAGATTAAGAGGGTGGGGCACTGTGCTCATACCAAATGGGGTACCCTTCTAGCTCCAGAATCCTCCAAAAGTGGGCATCTGAGTGCTAGGCATGTGGGAGACTGAGTACCCCAATGGAGAAGCCCCACTCCTGTAAATATCTGAGCATTCCTGTCTCCTAGAGTGAAGGGACCTGGAGACCATCTGCTCCAACTCTATTGCACACATGCAGAAACTGAGGCTCGGTGAGATGAAGGGGCTTATTTAGGGTTACACAGGGTCAGACTCAGGGGCACCATGGGCCCCAGAGGTCATGGCAAGGGGTCAGAACCTAGAGGAAGTTGCAGATGTCAGAGGAAGTGACATCACAGAGGTGGGAGGGGTTCCCCCAGGGCTCCCAGAAATGGTACTGGAGGGCTTGGGGTCCACATGGACCACCTCTCTTTCCCCACTCCCTGGCTGGGCCCTTCCGGAGCCACTGGCATGATACATCCCAACTTAATTCTTTCTAGGGCCGGCTGCAAGACCAGCTTATCAGCCTGTTTCTGTGCTTTTTATACAACACCCAGGTACATATGTGCACAGTCCTTGTGCACATAGTCACAACCGTGCATGCACACACATGCACATGCTGGCCTGTTCCAAACATGCACCTTCCAAGCTCCTTGATCCTCTAGAGAGAATGAATGAATTTCTAGGGTCCCTGCTGCTGTTGAAAACTCTCCCACAGTTAGAATACTCCCGGCCTGCCATGCTTGGGGGATATAAACTTCAGCTACTGGGCACCATGGAAACCAAGAGCAGGCTGCCTAAGGAGCAAATCCTGGCCAGGTTATTCCCAACTCACCTTAACCCAATGGGCAAGGGTCACTCACCTTAGTTGGCAGCTTTTGTCCACCAAAAAGTATATGTGGGGTTACCAGGCGCAGGCCTTGTTAGCGCTGACCAAACATTAAGGCTTGAACCCAGAACATTTGCTCTCCCTGGGGCCAGCTGAGGGTTGGCTGAGGACCTCCTTCTGGGCCAGACCAGGGGGGAGTGACCAGCAGGGGGAGCTCTGGCTCAGCCCTTGCACACAGCATCCCTCTAAAGGCTGGTACAGGTGTGTTTGGGGCGTCTCATACCACCTGCTCCATTTTGTTATTTTTTGCATAAGCTACCTCATTCCCTAGAACATCTAAGTTCCTCTTTGATGTACTTTTGCTCAGCCCTGCTCACTGAAGGTACACACCCTATGGATCCTTGCCCACTGCTGCTCATCTGTGGTGAGAGGTCTGAGCAGGTCCTGGCTGAGGACCCAATGCTGTTTGGCAGGACTGAGGACGGGCCTGCTTTCCTCCCTCCTTCCCAGTTCATAACCCGAGAAGGCCCATGCTGTGATGGAGACCACCCCCTCTTTTCTTGGGGGAAGCAAAGGGGTTTTGTTGGAATTCCTCCTGGGGAACAAGATGTGAGGAGGAGGAAGGACAGGAGGAGGAGGACTGAGGCGTTGGCAGTGTTGTGAGCAGAAAGCTCAGTATAAGCATAAAGTCCAAAGGCACAGTTCAGTCTGCTTCACAGCACATGCAAAGTGAGTGGATGAGGGTCAGAGACAAGGACCCCCAAAGTCAGCCATCAGCACCCCCTGAACAACGATCCAGGCAGGACATGCAGAATGAGCCCAGCTGACTCACGTGTAGGACTCAAAATCTCCATTGCTTATGGCTTCAATCAGCTGCTCTGTCACTTTTATAATTTCCTGTTTCCGCACTGTAAGGCAGGAGGGGACACAGAAATAATAATAATAATAGTGAGAGTATGAAGCACTCGCTACCGTTTCCTGAGTCCTTATCATGTGCCAGACCCTGTGCTGGGAACTGAGGACCTCATATGGATCACCTCATTTATCTTTGCATTGTCTCTGGAGATCATTACCCCATTTCACAGAAGAAGAAACTGAGGCCCAGAAAGGGGAAAATGGTGTGAAATTTTCCTCAACTCAGTGTCTCAGCCGGCAGCCTTCACCTCCAAAAAGCAGGAGTAGTGGACGTTCCAACTCTAAGCCTGATTTGAATTCATATCTTGACTCCAAAATATGTTCTTGTTACCTTGCTTTGTCCCATGAATCAAATGTGGCACTGTCACTAATAGCCATGAACCAGGAGATCCCCCATGTCTAAAACTGGAGCCACTAAAGAAAGTCTTAGGGCTCACTCATCCCTTGAGTCTGGGTGGGATTTGTGCTCCATTTGGGTGCCTGTAGGAATCAAGCACAGAGCGGTCCAGAACTTCCTAGGCATAAGGAATCCCAGTCGCTGAGATCTGGCCCTCCTCTCTCTGCCACCGAAACACCACAAGCAGCTGGTCTTTCCGGTAGAGAGTTAGAGGTCAGTTTTCTTATCAGATGTGTGATGTTCTGAGCCTCCGTTTTCCCATCTGTAAAATGGGGACCCACCTCTCATTCCTTCAGAGTTGACTATGTAGTGGAAAGAACCCAGGCTTTGGTCCCAGACAGGTCTTCATCTAAATTCTAGGGCAGGTCCTCATAAGCCATGCAGCTCTGGGCCACAGAGTCTGCAGGTCTGTCAGATGGAGGTGATAGTGTCCTCCTCTCAGGGTTGTTATGAGTTGGGGACGATGGGATGTACATGAAGGACGTGGCCCAAAGCCTGGCACATGGTAGGTGCATATCGTGAGGGCTGTATTCCTGCAGTCCCCAGGGCTGCCTTGTCTGCTCCTCACACATACCCTGGAAAGTAGGCAAGGCCAGCTCCCTGCATTTCCCACCTGAGGTGACCGAGCCTCAGTGATGAAGGAATCTGAAGCTAGGTGTCTTGGCTCCCAGCAGAACCTAACAGAAGCCTCGCTGGGTTTTTCAGGGCTGGCCTACTTTACCCCCTCCCCCAGGCTCATGCTTAGCTTCAAACCCAGCCAGCTCACTGGCCCCGGAGCAGTCCCAGGTGAGGTGGGAAACGCATTGCCCGGAGACAGAGACCAGGCCAGGCCTCAGCACTTCTCAGTCTGGGAGCCTGGGAGGGAGACCATGCCTGCTGTGGTGGGTATGCCCCTTTCCTCACCCCATGCCTGGGAGTGCATCTGAGATCCAGATGATGTAGAATCACATAACATTGGGCTAGAAGAACCCACGGAGGCCAGGGACTCAGCCCTCTTATCAAACTACTGGGGAAACTGAGGCCCAGTAAGGTGTTGTGTCTTGCCCAGGGACACAGAATATAGCAGGTACAGTCTGGCTCCCAGCCCGGGGCCTTCTCCACTAGACCGTGATGCCCCGACCTGACCCCTGTCATAATGCTAACCTCGCACAGTTGCTTGGCCTGTGTGCTTGTCCATTCTCCTGCTCAAATGTGAACTTTCAGCTTTCAGAGGCTGGGCCATGATTTCCCTCACCTCGCAGTGTCCTTGGAGCTTGGAACAAGCCTGCTTCTCCCTGCTCCCCTGGCCTTCATTACTGAATGAATGAAAGAATGAGCATGCCAGGTTTTGTGCTTGTGTTTAACCTGTGGAGTATCAAAGTCCCACAGCTCAACTTCACCTCCAGGTCACAGATGAGCACGTGGAAGGTGGGAGAAGCTAAATAATTTGCTCCCATGGAGCTGGGACACCAACCAGAGCTTGCAGCTCCAAAGTGCATCACACACTGCCCACACTTGTGCCCAGCACAGCCCTCGGCACATGGTGGGCACTGAGCAGTGTAGCAAGTGTCACCACAATAAACGGCTAGTTCTTTCTCTCCTGGCTCCAATCAGAGCAACCTGGGCTGGGAATGAGTCCATCTCTAGACCGTGGGAGCCACCCAGGTGCACAAGGCTTGTTGCCTCTCTCTCCGGGGCTTTGCCTGGGGCTGGGCAGAGGTGCCACTCAATACATCCATGTTGAGTGAGTGACTGAATGAGGGGATGGCTCCAAACCAGGGTCTGAGGCTACTATCTTTGCCCTGTCCCCTGGAATAGCCCAAGTTGCCTGGTAGCCTCTGTCCCTAGGAGCTCCAGAACCTGGCCTGTGAGTCAACTCTTCCTTCTTTCACAGAAGCTGGAGACTGAGGAAAGGAAGAACCCAGCCCTTTCAGTGTCCACTTACTTCTAGCTGCTCCTACGTGGGATCAGAGGTGACCACCCAAAGCAAATCCACGTGCTTCTGACAGGCCATGGGACCTGTGCCACCTCTCTTGCCTTCTCTGCATGGACTTTAAGACCCTTCCAGCTTGCCACTCCACAAACCTGTGCTTATTGTCCTGTCTCATGTGGGCTGCTTCTCACTGCCATCTCAAGGAGTCTAGCAAAGTAGTTGAGGGCATGGATTCTGGAGCCAGACTCCCTAGATTTGGTTTCTGGCTCTGCCACTTAATAGCTGTGTAACCTTGGGCAAGGTCCTTCCCTGTGCCTTGGTTTCCCCATATGTATAATGGATATACTACTAGTACTTACCTTATAAGGTTGTTCTGAGACTGAGTTAAGAATATATCAACAGAAATAGCTAATAAATATATGGTCGTCACCAAGAGTCAGCTGCTCTTCCAAGCTCTTTATATCAATTCACTTATGTAAATAATGATGCATTATGTTAATCATTTAGAGTAGTGCCTGGCACTCTATAAATAAGAGCTGTGATTATTATCATCTGGAAACTTCTAGATTGGAAGTTCCTCCTGAGGACAGCCTTGAGTCTCCAGCCAGGGCAGAAATGCTTCCCAGCAGGCCAATATGTGGTAGTTCAGTCTTGGTTGGAACCTTGGGGCTTGCAGCCTGCCGGGCAGCCAACTTCACTGTTGGACCCCTCTTGCTATTTGTATCTCCTTCTTTCAAGCTGGACTCTGTCCCCTTGAAACCCCCTAGGTATGGTTCTGGTCTTCTTTCAGCCTTCTGGGGCCCTGAAGTGGGCACCTGCTCTCTCAACCTCTATGCCCTCCCCCTAACCAGTCTTCTCTGTTCAGGGCTGAAGGCCTCCAGGATGTGGTTTCCAGGTCCTGACTCAAGCTGGCCATCTACTCCTCAAGGATCCTTGAGCTGCCTGGATACTTCTCTGGGTATGATCACAAAATCTCAGGTGTATCCTGAATAATTCAGAGTATCAGGTCTGGGATAGTATTGTCTATCCCCTCCCTAATTCTGGACACTATACCTCTATTAATGAAGCCTGAGGCAGTGCCTGATTTGGTTATGCCTCCAGCCACTCAGGACACCAAGTCTGCCAACAGTCAAAGCCTAGTGGGCAGGAATCACTTTAGCTTTGTTTTCTGGGACAAAAGATCTGGGGTCCTGGTACTTCTTAAATCTGGAGAAGTCCACTCTGGTCTGGGCCCTTTCCATGCCCTCAGTAGCCTCATTGCTGTGTAAAGGATTCATCCAACAGTTGCTTAGCTGCAACCTCTGGCATTTCTCATCTGCCAGGCTTTCGCTCAGACAATCCGGGACTGCTTCCCTACAGATGGGAGAGCTGAGGCCCCAGAGAGGTTAAGTCATTCTCTCAAGATCACACAGCATGCTGAGGCCAAGATAGGATCAGCATTCCTGACTGATATTTCCCAGAATGTCTCTGTCCAGCTTCTGAAGCAGCTCTTCAGGTTAGAGAGAAGATTAATTTTTCATGGAGCTGATCAGAAGGAGCTAGGCGAGCAGGGGGAAGCCTGGCAGAGCCTTGTGCCACTCAGAGAGCTAGAGGCTGCACATGAAGCCAGAGGTGCTCTGAAATATTAATGTCCCTTTCCTTCCTCAGGGGAAAATGTTCCCTGGAGGATGACATTTCTAATTAACTTTAATGTTAGGTCAGAGTCTACCCACCAGCTGCTATTCTCACTTAGTAAGAAGACTTAACAAATTAACACCAGAACATGGTTCTCTGGAAACTTTCTCTGAGGCCTGGAGAGGCTGGAGGAGACACAAGGGCTCCTCTCTCCTGCTAAACACATGGAAAAGCATGCGGCTGAGCCAGAGTCTCTTCCATCAGACATGGCCTCTGGGCTTTTCTAAATGTGGGGAACCAAGACAGGGAACAGGGTCCCAGTTCTGCTATTAACAAATCATACATGCCCTTCTCCTCTCTGGGCCTCAGATTCCCCTCTGTAAAGGGCACATAGGTAAACTACAAGACTTCACAAGTTGTCTTATCTTGATCCCTCTAAGCAGAGGATAATGATTGCAAATGTGGAGCCTCAAGGACCCAGCCCAAAGCCATTACCCCAGGTGGAAAATGTCTTTGATGGCTCCTATTTTACATGAATAGTGCATACCAATTTTGTATTGTTTTCTAAATATCTCTCTAACACATAAATTTGTCTTAAAATAATCTTTGAGTAGATCGCATAAATCTTTCGCCTTTTAAAATAATCTTTGAGTAAAACTGATCCTCCAAAAAAATGACACATGGCTTCCTGTCATTCAACTATGAACTTCAGTTTGAAAAAAATGAATTAAGATTATTAAACTGCTACCATGTGCCAAACACTATGCGTGCACGTTATACGTATCCTCTCATGTCATCTGCACAGCAGTCCTCTGAGGCTGGTACTATTCTCATCACCTCTTTACTGTTAAGGAAACTGAGGCTCAGAGAGGTTAAGTAAGCTGTACAAGGTCACCCAGCAAATGGACTGCAGTGAAGTACAGAGCCAAATCACCTGCAAGGTCCCCATCTGCTCTGAGGCCTGGATTACGAGGACATGTCATTTCCTCAGAATCCCACAGCCTGACTCTTACCACTGGGGCAGTGAGCCTCAAATATGGGGAATGTATTAGAAGTACCATGTCTTGACCCACCACAGACCTATGGAATTGGAACCCGCAGGGGCAGGGCCAGAGGGCCGGAAATATTGCTAGAAGATCAGACTTGTGGGACTCAGAATGCTGACTTGACCCTAATGGGGAACTCTTTTTCAAGATCACGTATTTTTAAATGTTGCCCCTGATGCCAACACAGAAGACTGATTTGCTCTAGTGCTAGTCTGTGGTGAGACAGTGCCCACCACCCCCCAAGCTGGGAATGACCAGAAAGGGACACACACAGGGTGGGACCCTCTTCCAGGGCACCCTGGCAGTGTCAGGTGGCAGTCATGGTGTTTGCGTTGTCAAAACTGCCTGAATCTCAATTATGCACAAATATTTATAGCATAATAAAGTGTTGTTTTTCCCATTATTATATCATTATATTATATACGATATTATTAATATTATTATATTATATTATATTGCTAGTGCAAAAGGTCTGCACTCCTGAAAAATGTCTACACTGGCACAGCTGAGTTCCCTCCAGCTCTATGGCCTTTTTCTTTATTTCAGAGACTCCCTGACACACGCCCAAGTGTGCAAATTCCTGAGCTCTCCAATCTCCTAGCCCTGGGGAACCAGGAGGGCTGGGTGCCCGGTGTGGGCAGAGCAGCAGGACACTGCTAATGCATTGAGGATTTGGTGTCCCTGAGCAGAAGTCAACACTTCCTGCTCCCTCCTACAAGCTCCACGTGCTCTTTCTGCACACCCAGGCCTCCAGAGTGGTGGTCACCAGCCAGGCTCTGGAGCCAGACTGCCTGGGTTCAGATCCTAACCCACCCTTACGAGCTATGGGACCTTGGGCCAATTTACCCAACCTCTCTGTCCTCTGTTTCCTCAGCTGTAGAATGGGCTTCATCATAGTACATACCTCATAGAGTTGGGTGGAGTTCCAGGAAGTTAGCCCAGACCAAGGACCCGGAGCAGGTTTAGTACATAGCCAATGTTCCATAAATAGCAGCCATTATTACAATCTGATCATGCTCCTCTGCGGTTTTGCTCCCTCATCCATCTGCAAGCTTTTGAGGACCGTCAGCCCCTAGCTATAGTGGCCCCTGCACTTTCAGTTGGTCTTAGACGGTGCTTCCTATACTCCAGCCAGTTGGACTTACTAAGTTTCTGCTCTCCCTTTCTTTACTATTATTACTTCATGTTCTTAAAATCAACTCACTTTAAAAAAAAAAAAACCCTCAAAAACCCTTATTTCAAAAGGAAATTTTAGGGTTGGCCAGTTAGCTCAGTTGGTTAGACCACAGTGCCAATAACACCAAGGTCAGGTCTGGGGTTTGGTCCCTGTACCAGCCAGCAAAAAAAAAAAAGAAAGAAAGAAAGAAAATTTATACTACTACATGTATACCATATCCATTTATGACTTGAATATGTTAAGTTGTTCTCTAATACACATTAAATAAATGTATTACCTCTAAAATAAGAAAAATCCATGTGCCACCAGTGGCTCTAGCATGCCACATGGGGAAACAGTGCCCACAGTGTACCCAGTTTACAAGGAACCAAAGCCAGGCTCTTCATAGAGGAGCAGGAAACAAGGTTGGCATCGGGGACCTTCCCAGCTAGCAGCTATCAGTGACAAGGTTCTGCCCTGCTGGTCCCAGGAGGTGTGGGGGCCCAGATGCCAAAGGCAAGGCCCCTCCCTACCTTTGGTGTCTTCATCCTCAATGGTGGTGTTGGTGCTCTCGGAAGATTCCTGCCAAAGAGAACACAGGAGGCGGTGAGATCCACCTGGCGACGGGGTGAGGTGTGGCCAGTCGGGGCTGCCCCAGCTGCCTGGTGACACGGCCGGTTTCTGTGCGCCTCACAGGCTCTGCCATCCGGACGCTGTGCTGCAAACCCTGCCGGACTCTCCTGCCTGAGGAGGGGAGGGCCTAGCTAAGCAGGTGGCTGGGGGCAGGGGTGGGATGAAGGGACGGCTGCAAGGAGAACCCTGGCCTTTCTGGAAGGGCTGAGGGGGGTTCCTGGGTCCTTTCTGCTCAAGGGGACCAAGAGAGGGTATGGAGGAGCAGAGAGATACCGTGGTAGCCACAGAGTGGGGAAGGAATACACACTGGCAGGAGAGGAAGAGAGAGAGAGGCAGGCCAAGTGGGAGAGAGGGTGGGCTTTTCAGAGGGGAGAAAAACCACACAGCTGAGTCAAACAGCGATGGAACCCGAAGAAGAAGGGCATGGGCCACCATGCCACCACTGGAGCCCTGGACAGAGGTGGCAGCAGGCCTGCAGAGCCTTGCACAAGCTCAAGAGGGGCCTCCATGGCATCCACTACTTTGGCCAAACCAAACCCCATCCTCGCCGCAACTGGCACAAACCAAGCCCTGAGATGAGTTCTAGAGCAGAGGGGTGGGGAGAAGCGAGAAGCCAAGGGGTGGACATGGGATGGGATTCAAATCCACCTTTGTTCCTGAGGGAGGTCTCAGGTCTGTGGTCAGCCTGCTGGCCTGGGCCGTGGAGTTAGAGGTGTCAACAGAAACACGCAAACAACACACACACACAACACACATATTGTCACACAAGGCACACGTACCAAGCACGCCCTGAGCACCCTCTCCCCGCCCCAGGTCCCCAGTGCAGCCTGCAGGCAGGAGGCAGGAGCAAGGGTTTGAGGCCCAGCATTACCGGCGTTTAGGAGACGGCAGACACTCACCATTAACTGAACGCTGGAACTGGACTTTCTTTTCTGGAAAAACAAGGAGAAGAGATGGGACAGGAAAAGACACAGCGTGAAAACGGCAGGGAGCAGAAGAACAACAGGGGAGGTTTGGAAGGAGGATGGGCCACAGGGGCATCCTCTGTGGTCCTTTGCCAGCTTGGTATTGGGATAAGTTGTCAGGGCCACCAGCAACAGCTAATCTGGCAGGCCAGTCCTCTCAGCCTGAAGTTCTGGGTCCTCATGCACAGCTGCCTGGGTCTAGCTAGCTAAGGGCCAAGCTCAAGGCCAAGCCTGCCTTGGAACAGGGCTGCCCACTGCCCCTAGCTCTGATGGGGGAAGCCGGTCCAGGCTCTTGGATACCAGTTGCCTAAGGCCTCCAGAATCCAATGCTCTTGAAGGACAAAAGGGTGCTCAGGCCTGGAGATGAGGCCCAATGTCTCCTCCTCGGCTCCCCATGCATCTCTGCTAAGAGGACCCCATTCCCATTGGAATGTCGTAATCACTTGGGAGACTTGTCAAAAATGTACAGAAATAGGTCCCCTCCGAGGAGTTTGATAACTAGGTCTGGGGTGGGGCCTGGCCATCTCCATTTTCAAGAATATCCCCAGGTGATTCCAAAGCAGGACCACGTGTGGGAGCCAGTCCTCTGAGGGGCCTTTGAAATCCTGCTTGCATTCATGACTCCCCAGTGACTGGCCTGTTCAGCTTCTTTATGCTAGCAGAGGAACTGAGGCAGCACCAGAAGTGAAGCTGAGTTTAGAACTTGAGTCTTCGGGCCCTGCCATTTGGCTCACTCCAGCATTTGGGGGATTTGCAGCATTCCCCGTATCGGCTATGGAACCAAGGGAAGGGGAGGGGAGGACAAGTGTTGATAGCTTCCCTCCCTCAACTGTCTGAGCCAGGAGTCTTAAAGACTCACATTCATAGAAGGTTGTAGGTCAAGAGGCCCAGAGAGGGACAGTGGACTGCCCAAGGTCTCTCAGCAAGGTCCTAGCAGAGCGGAGGCTGAGTGCGAGGCTCTCTCCTCTGCCCAGGCCTCCAGGCACAACAGACTGACCCCTCCTCAAAGGCTGGTCCTATTCTGATGCCCTTACATCTGAGAAGCCAGGAGGCCCTTCTCCCTGCTGCACCTTGGGGGTGGGTGCAAAGGATGGGTTTGGTATGCCCTCAGGGTAGGCCTTTGCCATGGGAGGTGCTGGATATTCCTTGAAAGTCTCAGGTCTGATTCTGGGCTTCCTGGCTCCAAAATCCAGTAAGCATCTGCAATGCCAGGAACCTGAGACCCTTTGCCCTCCATCCAGGGCCTCCACAGGCTGTGCATCTTCCCCAGCCGGGTTGGACAGTGTGAGTCCACAGCCAGCAGCCTGCAGTCAGCTCACTCCCCTCGCCTCTCCAGTCCTCTCCTGTCCTGTCCTATGCTGTCCTCTCCTCTCTCCTCCTAGTGTTGGCCTCACTCCCTGGCTGGAGCTGGGCCAGGCACGGTGTGTGTGAGGAAGGGGACAGGCCCACACAGCTGAGCTGTCAGCAGAAACCTGAGGAGCCGCGCAGGGGCCAGGAGGTTCCAGGCGGGACACGAGAAGGGAACACAGAGCAGAGACTGCATCAGATTCGAACGCACAGTGACAGGATGGGACATGGGGAGAGAGGTCATGACGGCACGGATGGGACACCAACAGGGGCAGTGAGTGAGGTTGAGGGGTGGGAGCAGTTGGCCCCTCCTCACAGAAGTCAGGCTGAGGGGTGGCCGGGAGAGGACATTGCTTCTTGCTGACAGAAAGGCTCAATTTCCCTGGGTCACAACGATGATGATACAAATAATCCCACGCTGACCAGCACTTTAGAGCTTGGTTTAAAAGGGACTTTCACCAAAAGTAGAGTCACATCTCCTAGAACCACATGGTCCTAAGGTTAGCAAGGATGGTAGAAACTGAGCATCGTTAAAGTTAGCCTTGGAAAAGCTTGAAAAGCCCATAAAGTACAGTACATTGTCATTCTCTGAAACTCTAGCCAGGCCGGCTTCTCCTCCAGTGTTGGCACCCACCACCGCCCTTTCCTTCACTTAGCCAGATGAACCTGCCATGTGTCTCTGGGGACCAAGTCGTAGGAATAATATGTATAGGTACTTTCCCCTTTGGCTGAATGTGTGACAGTTAAAGGACAAGATGATGTGGCTCCAACAGGCCACTCTGGGGGGGATCCTCTCGCCAGCTCCTTCACACCCAGTTGCTGTGCTCCCCTTGTGCAGATGACAGAACCATGACCTGGGTCCCTAAGGGAAGGAACAGTAGAGCCCAGACTCAGGCCCAGGGCTTCTTGACTTGAGGTCCACTTTCACTCATACTGAAAACACAACTGGACCCCTGGCCCCTGCTGTTCTCCCTGCTCCTTCAGGGAGCGACATATGGCAGGCTAGGCTCCCCAGATCCTCCTGGGTTACTCTTACTTGTAGCTGAATTCCCTCCCTCCCCCAACCCGAGGGAGGGAAGGAGGCTGAGCTACAAAGAGACGGCCGGCCAGAAATGGCCTTTGAGTTCCTCTTCATCCACACCCAGGCCACCCTGAGAAGTTGCTCAGGGAGTGTCCTGTGCTACAGAAAGCAGTGACACTTTGATCAGCTGTGCCTGCAGGAAAGCCCGGCAGTGACCAGCAGAGTGCCACCGTGCTATGAGCTGTCTTTGCCCTCTGATAGCCTTTGCCTCCTGGCCTTGCCGAGAGGAGCCAGACTAGAGCTTCATCCCATACCCTCAGGAGTTTCCTCTTGACCCCACACCCAGTGGCTCTTCATCGGCCTTTCCCAGGCCCATACCCAAGAGCAGACTGACCAGCCTCTCCCTCTGCTGCCTCCCCCTTCACTAGCCCTGGCCAGAACCCACCAGTGCCTGTGAGCCCTGCTTCTTCATCCCCCAAGTGGGGGCCAGGGAGACAGCTTTCTCTAGGGGGCCCAGCACCCCCAGCTCAGCGTCTACATAGTGGTGTCAGGGAGGGTCCCAGTGTACACTCCTTCATCACTCTTTCAGATTGGGAGGGGGGTTGGCTCAGGAGTGATCCAAAACAACAGGCAAGCCAAAACTGGATGCCGGATTCCATTATGGGATTTGGGATGGGTGCAGGTCAACTTTATAAATTGGGTTGGCTTTAGATTCATGGTTTCCAAACATTTTCTTGAGCAAGCTGTTTTCAAGAGAAGTGTTACCCAAAAGAGTAAGATAATACGGACTAGCACCTGATGAGTACGTATCTCACACCTCTCCCTCCAAAGTCTCACTATGCTAAACTCTCAATACACATCATATTAGTTAATCCTCAAAAATAGCCCAAGGTGGTGGGAACCCTTCAACCTCGTTGCATGAATGGGGAAACACTGGGCTCAGGGAATTTACATAACTAGCCACGGTCTAGCTGCTGGTAAACCCACCAGAACATGAAGCCATTCTGGGAGAAGCGGGCATGAGAAGCCCAGAACCTTATGAACTCCGTCTCCCTCTCTAATCCCACTCCACCCCGTCTGCTGCCGGACGTGCCTCCTGGAACCTTTGGGCTCAAAGAGTTCAGTCTGAAAACCACTGACTTTGACTAATAACCAAATAAGTATGTACTCGAGCACCCAAGGTGAGGAAGGAGGGTAATTAGATAGGATTTTGTTGCATTTTTGTTGGTCTGTTTTGTTTTTTTTTGGCAGCTGGCCAGTACAGGGATCCGAACCCTTGACCTTGGTGTTACAAGGCAGCACTCTCACCAACTGAGCTAACCGGCAGCTCTGCTTGTCTGTTTTTAGAGCTGAAATCTTAGAAATGACCATCAAGTTCACACATTATACCTATGGGGAAACTCAAGCCAGGAGAAGGCTAAGGGCAGAGGGGAAGCCTGATCCTGGCCTCAGACATACAGCCCAGACCGTCCCCCTTCCATGCAATCCCTTACAAAGGCCAGCAGCCTGAGACCATAAACAACACTATAAACCAAGCCATGAAGCCACCAGCACACCTGGGTGGCTATGTGAACACAGCATCCCACACCTTCCAATGTCCTAGACACGGCTCAGCCCTGGGGCCCTGGCAAGGCAGGGCTCTGAGCCCAGAAAAAGGCAGGGTCTCAAGAGAGGAGAACCCACAAGGTGATCAGGTGACAGGAGAGGAGGGGGCTGCAGAGAGCAGGGGGACCAGGCCCCAGAGAACAGAGGGAGAAGAGAGAAGAGACGGGAAGGAGGGCCAGAGGGCATAGAGGGAAGTAGCTCGGGCATCAGGGGTGGGGACAGGGGGCAGGCCCGTGAGGGGCGGAGGGGTTATGGCACTGAACCAGAGGGCCTTGGTCAGGGGAATGGCTGTCCATCCTCCACAGGCTTTCTCGGTTGGACTAGGGGGTACAGCAGATCAGGGGCCATTCCGGTCCACCCACGCTCGGGAGAGGGGAAGTCCCCTCATGACCATATCTGTCCCTTCCTTACATCCTCTTGCTCGCCAGTTCTCCAGACCCGGAAAACCATAGACATCTCCTGACCTGCCCGCTCTCTTGTGCCCGCCCCAACCCCAGGCCACCCGCCTCTCCCCCTCTCCTTCAATTCCCACCCCCTTCTGCCCCCACCAATCATGGTAAGAGGGTGGGCACCGAAGCCCAGTTCTGCGGGTCTGGGGACAGCCTGGCCACAGATGTGACCCATGTCTGCCCAGAATACCATCAGCAAGGGCTGGGTCTTGCTCCAGGCCTGAAAACTGGTCCCAGTGGCGGACGTGCTGCCACAGGCAGGCCCCACCAGGCTTCTGGGGGCTTACCTTTACACCATCGTTCTTCTTGTTTCCCCCACTCTTCCCTCCTGTGGAGGAGAGAAAGTAGAGGGTTAACAACACCAGGCAGGGCACCAGGGCCCACAGGGTGAGGAACAGCAGCATCCACGGGCTGGCAGAGCGGCCGGTTCAGCAGTCCTGGGGAGACTTCCTCCTCCTTCACCCTCTTCGGCCGCCCAGGGACTGTCAGCTGCCCACCGGGTGGGCCTGGGCTCTCCAGTTCTCAGCAATCTCAAGCATAGTCCTCTGGCTTCATGGGTTGAGGGAGGTGTCCAATGTGTCCCGGGACCATGGAGGTGCTGTTTCAGCCTGGGGATTCCCTCTGGATCCTGGTCACCACCGTGCTGGTGGTGGCCAACCCTGAGGCCCAGCTGCCTGGCCTGGGGCTGGACGCTCCCTCCCTGCCCTGGTCCGCTCTAATTTTAGCCCCATGCTGCTGCGGAGGTCATGTGTCAGCCCTGCCTACTCACTCTGGACAGCTGCAGGCTGCGTTTTGCCGGTGACAAGAAGCAGATGCCCCTGCTGGGCCCACCCCTGCCAGAGCACCCATCCCTTGCCTCTCTCTTCAGGCAGCGTAGGCCTCCCAACCTCAGACTCCAGAGCCCCACGCTGGAGCTGGCTGTGTCCCTGGCATCAGGGAAAAGCAAGGCAACAGCTCTCAGGGAGGCATCCACCTCTCTCATTTCTCTTTCCCTCTCTCCTCACCTCCTGGCCAGGGTCCTGGGAGTGGACATCAGCCAGGAAATGGCACGAATGGCGTGAAGGTCTGGCATCCATTGCTTCAGACCTTAAGCAAATGCCTTAAACGACACGGGGTATCTACAAAGTGCTTGGCATAGCACTTGACCTGTATGCAGTAGATACTCAGTAAATGGTACCCGTAAGTCCTTCTCATGGTTGCATGCATAGGGTGAACTGGGAGGGGGGCAGTGGTACAAGGCATGGACACCCCAGGGGCTGTGAGATGGGGCTCACAGCCGGTTTGGCTTCTGAGCCACCCCACATGTCCACCTATGACCCCTTCCATGTTCTCATCCAAACTTTCCTGCTTGCAGATCAAGGGGCAGGGGCACCTCTGGCTGTCCATGCTCCACAGGTTTTGGGGGTTGCACTAGGGAATACGGGGGGTAGGGGGAGGGCTTGCCCCTCCAGCCTCAAGGAGGGTGGCTCCCCTCAGCTCCAGCCCACTATTCCAGGATTGAGGGTCCAGTGAGACCATAGATTCTGATTTTCAAGAGACAATAGAAATCTGGGGTTTTCTACGAAATTTCCTGATTTTAAGTGCTAGGAATCCATTCCAAAAAAAAATTTTAAACCACATGTCTCCGCAAAGCACATCTAGAGATTGAATCCAAGCCAGGGGCCACCATTTTGTGAGCTCTGGATTAGAGTTCTCTAGGGTGCCTCAGTTGTTAAAAAAAGATTCTGACTGTCCGGGTAGCTCATCTTTCAGTTTAAGGAACTGCAGGATCCTTGCCTGGGGAGAGGGTGGGAAGGCAGTTCAGAGTGGTGGAAAAGCCAAGTCTGAAGTTCTAGTACGTTCCCACCTCTGGATCTGTTCTTTCCAGCCAGTTACACGGGCAGGTGGTCCCTCTTGTGGAGCTGGGACTGCACCATTCTCAGAGCCGCCCCCTTCTATGGTGCTGGCCCCAGCCCCAGCCAGAGGGCCCCTCGGGTGAGCTTTGCTATATCTTACCTGTTGCCCCATCAGCCATCCCAGGCTCCCCAGAGACAAGCCTCTGGTGGGCACTGGCCCAGCACTCTCCATTGTGCCAAGAGGAGCTCCTCGCTAAACCCTGACAATAATCCCTTCCCCTTCTCTCTTTGGGGCCACATGCCACAAGTAATTGGGCAATCCTGCCTTAACCAGCCCAGCTTTGGCCATGGGCCTGGGAAGCTCTGGCACTGGACTCCGGATGACCCCACCCGGTATAGGGCACTTGCTCTGGGGCTGGTCAAACCTGCACTGAGTGAGGGCTCAGCCTCCCTTGAGCTATGTGGACTGGGGTGTGTCAGAGCTCATCTCCCTGAGTTTTCACTTCCTCATCCAGAAAAGAGGGGTTGCAGCAGCCCCCACTGCCTTGTCATGAAGGCCACCTGAGTGGAAGCATGGGGACTGCTTAGTACAGGGCTCTAATAATGGTGGGACAATGTTGTTACTCCCTGGGCCTGGCTCTGACCCACCTGGACCTGAACCCTGAACATTCCAGAAGTCTTCCCCTCTGCATGGCCCATAGTGCTGCTGCGAGGCAGGGGAGGCAGACTAAACCACTCATTGGTCCTGGTGGGCCCTTGGCTTGCTGACCACTTCTGGGTACAGGTTTGTGGCAGGTGAGCTAAGCCCCCAGTCATGGGATCCTCTGCCGTCCCCTCTCTCCTCAGGCCCCCAGCCTGGTGCACCCAAATATCTGACAGGACAATGCCCCCAGCAGACCATTTCAGGGTATATTGGGGACTCTGAGGTCCCACCACCTACCAGAGAAGTTCCTGGTGGCCAGCATAGTGGTGAGAATGGCTCCCTGCAACAGATAAGAGGAGGGGAAGTGGAAGAGGAGGCCGGAGGTGAGGGGACAGGAGAGACAGAGAAACAGGAGGCAAATGGGGAAGGGAAGGCAGGTGCTTCATTCAGAAGTGAGGCCGACACCTCTACCCCTGCCTCGCCATTTGTCCCCAACCCCACCACATAGCCCAGAGCCCTGGAGCACCCAGGATGAGCTAGTCTTTAGCTGACACAGCTCCTGGGACAGGGACATCCTAGGAGCAGATATTAATAGGTCTGCAGCCTGGCCAGCCAAAGCTGATGGACTTGAGGACACCTACTAGCAGGGGCTCCTAAAGGCCATGAAAGTTTCCTGCCTGGGCAAGGGTGGCAGACCTTATGTCCCTTGCCCCCTCACTTCTCAGTCTTCTGCTCGGGTCTGCAAGCACCTTGCTCCAGGACTAGTTCGTCCCTCCATGCCCCGTGGGCTCAGAACCCTGGAGGATTCTCAGCGTGGAGAAACCTCTTCTGTCAACGAGAAGGCTGGGGCATAATGGTCCTTCTGGTTCTGACACTGATTTGGACCTCACTTGGACATTCTCTCAATCTGACAGTCTGATGTTAAGAATCCCTGATTCTTATTTTGAGACTTTGGAAGGCTCCCGCTGCAGGGTGGGGGTGGGACTCGGTTCTTCTGGCGCCATGCCGGCCATCACTCCCCTGCTGATGTCCCCATCCTAAGCCACCATTCCAGGCCTGGGAACAGAAGGTGAGGAGGTTCCAAATGAGCAGAGGACTTGCATCTGTCCCTCAGTGTCCCCGGCGTGCTGATGGCTCCTCTGTCCTGACCAGCAGGGGGCCCCTCCTTGCCCACCAAGGGCTAGGCCAAGAGATGTCACAGTCCTGAGAGCACACAAGATCCGCTGAGAGGCCACAGCTCAGGGCCTACCTGGGTCCTATTGTGGCTTCCTCGGAGACACGACCACTGTCTGAGTGTCTCAGCCATTCATCCCCAGCTCTTAGCAGCTGGGGCCTCTCACACACCAGGGTCACATCTCACCCCCAGAAGCTCTCCCCAGCCACACCACACCACCTGTGGTCCCCCTGAGGGGTTGTGCTCACACTTCCAAACTTCTGCACGGCCGTTCACTCTGCCTGGAACATCTTCCCATTCTGACTCTGCATTTGGCTAATATCTGCTCATCCTTCAGGGTCTCAGCTTAATCGCCACTGGCTCCAGGAAGGCTTCCTGGGATCCTTCCCTGATCCTTCCAGACCTGGGAATGCCTCCGTCCTGCTCTGTATTCACACCACCCAGGCACAGCACTCACCATGCCCCGAATGTTCTGGTTGTTTGTCTGTCCTCTCTGCTAGGCTGAGAGCTCAGGCAGGGTGGGGAGGGGTTTAATTCACTGCTCACTCCCCAAAGCCCAGCCCACTGCTCAGCGTGCAGTAGGTGCTCAATAGATGCTTGTTGAGTCAATGGAGGAAAGAACTAGTGAGTGAGTCTCGGTCTCTGTGGAGTCCCAGGCCGAGTCACTCCCATGTATAGGGCACGGAGGGTGAAGACCTGTTACCTTCAGTTTTCTCCTGGCATTGAACTTCTTCAGGCAGTCCACGGTCTCCTGTCTGTGCATGCAGGAGGCCACGGTGGATCGGTGCTAGAGGGAGTGAGGGAGAAGTCAGTGGGTGGAAGGTGGGAAGGAAGACAGGCCTACGCAGGGGTCCCTCAGCAGGGCGTCTTAATGCAGGTGTGGCTGGCATCTCTGTCCTGGGGCAATGTTGCAGGGTGCTTAGGACCCCTGCATCAGACATTCAATGCCAGTAGCACCCTTAGTCATGATGCCAACCCAGAACACCCCTTGTTGAGAACCACAGCAGGGTCAGTCTCTTGGACTAAGCCCCCTTGGCTCCATGTTGGGGCTGAGGGGCCAGGGGCAGAGCCAGGACTCTGTGGGGACTTAGATCTTGAGGTCCTGGGAGGGGCCCTGCTGAGGAAGGCTCACCGAGATCCAAGGGTGCTTAAGGGCCTCGGCAGCTGTGATGCGTTTGGATGGGTTGATGGTCAGCATCTTGTTGATCAGATCCTTGGCTTCTGGGGTAACGGTGTCCCATTCTGGTGATGGGAACTGGAAGGGGCAGAGGGGCCAGGTTTGCCCAGACTGCCCCAGGCCACCCCTGCGATCCCCCAGCCCCTGACTGGCAGGGGAGCAGGCAGGGGTCCTACTGCCCATCCACTTGGGCATCCATAACCAGAACGAGTTGGGGCTCCTCTGGGTCAGGGAAGGACAGTGTCCCTGATCCTAGGACAAAGTCAGAATATGGTCAGAGGGAAAGGGTACCTCCCTCTGTCTTTCTGTGGCTGTGGCTGATTTGGAGAATGGGAGGCCAGTGGATTTAGCCCAAACTTAAGAATCAGAAGGCCTGGATTCAAGTCCTGGCTCTGCCTCCCTGGCTGTGTGACCTGGGCAAGTCATGTGACCCCTCAAGCTATCTCTAGAGATGTTGTGAGGATTAAATGTAATATAAAACACATGGCACACAGCTTGATAGATATCAGCCTTGCAGAATAGCTTGGACACTACATCCAGACTACCTGGGTTCATATCCCAGCTCTACCATTTCTTAGCTATGTGATCTGGGCAGTTACTTAATCTCTCTGTGCCTCAGTTTTCCTATCTGTAAAATGGGGATAACAGCATATATGTTATAGATTAGTGAGAGGGTTAAATGTAATAACATATGTAAAACATTCTAGAGTGCTATAGAAGTGTTAGCTATTATTATTATTTATATACGTAAGAGAGAAAGAGATAAAATCTGGCTCCAGGGGCTTGCCTCTCCCCCACTCATCACCCTACTTGGTGCTGCTTCTATCCTCTGGGGCCCTACAGGATAAATCCCATCACTTTGATCCCCTAATCCTTAGGCACAGCGTGGTCATTGCCTGGCCCTGGTCAGTCTTCAAGCTCCCCTGCGGTCATCCCCTGCCCCAGAACTAGATAGTGGCAGGTACTTAAGTGGCCTAGGAAGGTGGGAGGGAGGTATCTTCAGATCTCCAATCTCACTGGGCTTTGGCTTTCACTGGAAGGGGACCAGAGGATGACGGGAGCTGGAGAGAGGAGCAACACTCACATCATAGGCGCCGGCTTTGATCTGCTGGTACAGGCGGTGCTGGTCCTCATCCCAGAACGGGGGGTACCCAACCAGCAGGATGTAGAGGATGACACCTGGGGAGAGGACCAGGAGAACCTTCAAGCTCCTGTGGACAGGAGAGATGCGGGAGGGGGAGTGATGGGAAGGGAGAGAGGGGGGCCCAGAAGCGGGGACAGCTGGGGGACAGAAGGGCCTTTGGATGAACTCACCACAGGCCCACAGGTCCACAGGCTTCCCATATGGGTCCTTCCGCAGCACTTCTGGGGAAAGGTATCCAGGTGTCCCTGCGAACCCTGTTCCCCAGACACACAGACAGGCAGACATACACACAGAGGTTGGCACGTGAATAACCTGCAGCAAGATCCTGCTGGGAGAGATGAGGGTTGCCCTGGAGCTGGAGAAAACAGCCCCTGCCTCCAGAGCATGGGTTTGCATTGTGCAATCCCAGTGGGCCGAGGGCATAAGCCTGGCCTGCTAAGCCAGCAAAGCCTCCAGACCAGGTTGACAAGTACAGAGCACATGTGTCACTGCTGCCCACTCCAGAGCCTATGGCAGACAGCAATAATCAACCACAGATCTCCTTCCCACTGGGTCCTGACTCAGGGTCATGAACTTCCCAACACAACCCTCCCAGCACCCACTGCTAACCAACTGCTAGTGGCCCTCAAGATGAAATGTACTTGCCATGTCAGCTCCAGGCTGAGAGCTAAACCCGTGTCCACTCCCCACTCCCTGTAGGAGATGGTCATGGGATGTCAGGAGGTCTGTTCCTAACTCTGGCTTTGGCCCTAAGTCCCTTGGGTAAGTCTCTTTACCTTCTAGGCCTCAGTTTCCTCATCTGTCAAATGAGGGATTAGGGCTTCCTATCTTAATACCTTCCAGTGTTGTTGAGAGGATCAATTAAAATAATGGATGCCCAAAGTATTCTAACAAGTAATTATAAGAATAATTTCCAGTTACTGAGTGTATATGCTAAGCATTGGGCTGAGCACCTTACATGCCTGGTCTCATTTAATTCTCAGACAGCCCTTAGGACCATGCTATTATTATCCCCATTTTACAGATGAGGAAATGAAGGCTCAGAGAGGTGAAATGACTCACTCACAGTCACACACCTTGTAAGTAGCAGAGTCAGGATTTAAACACGGAGCTCTGATTCTTTACCACTGATCATTATCGCCCACTAAAAACTACCCCCAGATAGGTGAAAGGGACCCAGTTGTACCAAAATCTCAGAGCGTGTGGGATCATCTGAGCCTAAGTCCTGGCTCTATCCCTTTTATGCTCCCTTGACCTTTCCCAAATTTCTTTGCCTCTGTTTACTCATCTGTGATACCAAGATAACAATCTCTAGCACCCAGGCTGTTCAGAGAACCTCACAGAAGCTCCTGGCCAGCAGCGAAGGTGAGTGCTCCTATGAAAAGCAGTGGTACTGTTTCAACGTTAACTGTGCCCCTGTGCCTGGCCCCCACGGGATGAGCACCATGCACTGGCTCAGAGGCGAGGTGGGGTGGGATATCTGCTCCCTGAGCCCTGGCTGGCCCACCCTCACTCGGGCAGAGGATCCCAGGAGGCTGACGTGTCACACAAAGGCTGCCCTAACACCCCGCCAGCCTGCCCCCACTCACCAAACCATGCCTGCTGCTCCCCCTCCACCTCTATGGCCAGGCCAAAGTCGGCCAGCTTCACCGCGGCACCCTTGAGCTTGGAGGCCAGCAACAAATTCTCCGGCTTCCCAGGACCAGAGAAGAGGGAGAAAGAGGAAGAGAGGGCCAAGAAACATCAGCAGATTCAGAATCTCACCTGTGTGGACGCAAGTGGCTAGAAAATCCAGGGCCCACCTTCCCCCACCTCCAGCCTGGCCACAGAATTCTAAGCTTCAGGGGACTGTCCTACAGCAGGATATCCTTCTTCTACAACAGAAAGACCTCTCCTCCAGTAGCCACCCCACTCTCCCCTCCCCTCAGGGTCTGCAGCTGGGGCTGAGGCCACGGGCCAGGATGAGGGTGATACAGCCACCACTGCAATTAGGAAGAAGCAGCATTTATTGAGCCCCTACTATGTCCCAGCCACGGGGCAGAGTGTTTTGTGTGCACCCTCTCTTTATCATCTCAACAACCCTTTGTGGTAAGTGTCATCATCCCCATTTTCTACAGTGGCTTTCTTATGTCCTTGAAATAGTCCGGCTTGTTCAGGCCCCAGGGCCTTTGCACTTCTTGTCACCCATGCCTGATTTGCTCTCCCCTAAGCTTCACAGGGCTGGCCCCTTCTCTTACCCTCATGACACCCCTTCCTAGAGGCCCTCCATGCTACTCTATCTAGTCTATCTAGAGGCTGAGCCCTCAGGCACCCTCTGCCTTAGCTCCTGTTGCTACCTTCATAAATCTCATCATAATCTGTAATGTTTTCCCGTCTGTCTATGTGCTTGTTCATTATCTGTCACCCCTGCGGAATGTGAGTTCCTTATCTGTCCTGTCCACCACTGTATCACCAGCACCTAGGACATAGCGGGGGGCGGGCTACATAGTAGGCACTTAATAAGTATTTGTCATATGTATAAAAAGGATGAAACTGAGACTCAGAGAGGTTAAATGTCTTGACCAAGATCACACAGCTGGCAAGTGAGGGCCAGAACTTAGGCAAAGTCTGACTCCATCTTAATTAACCACTAGGCTGAAAGATGGTGGGGTTTGTACGTGGGACCAGCAACTGACCTAGGGAAGGGCCCACACCTGGCCTCTGGGGCGTCGAGGCTCTTGCCTTTCACTGTCTCAGGGATCCAGGATTCCTCCACTTCCTGCTGGTCCACCTCCACCTTGGCAGTCAGGACAGAGCTAAGAGCATGGGCTGGGCACTTAGATAGCCTGGCTTCTGATCCCAGCATGGCCACTTCTTGCTGTGGAACTTGGGCAAATTATTTCCTTCCTGTGAGCTTTAGCTTCCTCTCAGAAAATGGGGATAATACCTACCTGATGGGGTGGTGTATGGATTAATTGAGATAATCCATGTAAAGCACTTAGCAGTGGCTTACAGTAAGTGCTTGATAAAAATTAGTACTCATATTTCTGCTTGAAGAGGGGCTCAGAGTCTCTGGAGAGAGTTGGTTTCCAGTCCTCCAATCCCCTTTCCCACTGGGACTTCTGAGGGGTCCCGCCTCTGACCTTTAACTGTCCAAAGCTAGGCTGGACCCAAGCTAATACAGCTCCCCCTGCTTGGCTCATGAAGGCCTCCACATCCTCTGGGGACTGCGTTCCCAGCATGTCCTGGGTCTCGGTAGCCGTCCTGCCCTGATTTGATGAATGTGCTGCTAATTAGTGTATCCAGAGTGGCCTAAATTTGGGCTGCCTCTCCTCCTTCCTCCTTCTGTGCAGGGGCTGCAGCTATAATGGGAACAGGCCCTCAGGGAGAACCACCCTGATGTCTGGCTGGAGACCCTCTTCAAGTGCACAATTGCCTGTGGGCCTAGACCCAGCCATAGGGAGCTCACCTGGGGCTAAGGTGAGAAGACGGGACCGCCCAAGTCAATTGGAGTTGGTCAGAGGTTCTGTTCAGAGCATTGTGCCCAAAACAGACCTGGACCAACTGGAACATTCCCAGGGTTGGGGGATGCCCAGGATGAGGAGGGCCTGGAAGTCACATTCTGGGTGGGAATAGGGGAGGATGGCCTGCAGAAGAATTAGGAGATACAACAAGCTGCCCAAGTCCCTCAGGCCTGTTCTGAGCTCAAGGCTTGGTCTCTGTGTGGTTCCAAAGGGCAGAACTGGGGTTCAGGGTGAAGACCCCCCCCAGCAAGAAAGAGCAAAAGAGCGTTCTCTACTAGTGCAAGGGGCTTCCGCATGGGAAGAGAGTTCATTGTCACTGAAGACCAAAAAGCAGAGGTTCAATGGACAGCTGGCAGGGTTACCCTAAAAGGGACTGCTGCAGAAGCAGGAGCTGGATTGAGTGGCTTTTTGGTACCAGACCCCTGAGGTCACAGGATCTGGTGTATGAAGGCCAGAGCTCCCTCATCTTAGCTCAGACACAATTGAACTGCATATCCTTAGGCAAATCCCTTGGACTCTTTAGGCCTTAGTTTCCTGCTCTGCAAAACAGGGATGATGTGAGCTATCAGCCACTGACGCCATGAGGCGCCACTGAGGAGACCCATGAAGTCTGTGCTTACAAGGCAAGGCTATGTGGCTGGTGCCAACCTGGACTCCACACCTGCTTAGTCCTGTCAATTTCCTTCTTCAGGTAGGAAGATGGGGGACCCAAATCCTGCTTTCTTCTCCCCTGGCCTGCCAGAGACCCGGGAACAAGAGGAACAAGGCGTCTGTATTCCAGGCACTGTGCTATCTCATCTGACAACCTTACCAACCCCATTGCAGAGGTTGCTATGGCAACCTCCATTGTAAAGAATCTGAGGCTGGGGAGGTCGAGATCATCGAGCCCATGCAGCCAGGAAGTGGCCTAGTTGGGACTAAACCCAGCCTACCTTCTTCCCCACCCCCCACAGCCAGTCTTGGTAGTTTAACTACATCTCGCCTGGCCAGGCACAGAGCTCATGGGGCCAAAACCCAGATGCTCTACCTTCCTGAGCTCAGTTTCCTCATCAGGACAGCGGGGGAAATATTCCCACCCACCCCCTCCCAGCCTAACTCAGGTAAATTAAAGGGACTCAGATAATACCCGGCTCTGCAGGAGGAGGGAGGTGCAGAGGATAGAGGGGCTCCTGGACCGGGCAGGCTCCAGGCCGAGCCACGCCATGGTGAGCTGCTCACCTTCAGGTCTCGGTGCACCACCCCCATCTGGTGGCAGTGCAGCACGGCCTCCAGGATCTGCTGGATGCAATGACTGGGGAGAGAGAGGAAGGGGTCAGGCCTCCCCTGGGAAGCCAACAGGGGCAAGAGTGTCCGGCCCCTGGGTGCCCTGTGACCACACCTCGCACTCACCTAGCATCAGCCTCACTGTAATACTCCCTGGCAACGATGTCTTCAAACAGCTCCCCACCAGTAACCCTGGGGAAACAGGCATGGAATTACCTTCCCATAGAGACCCCAGGGGCTGCCTGGTCTGGAGGAGTCTCCAGGAAGCTCAGCATGGGGCCAGGGACCTCAGAACTTCACCCAAATGGAGAAGCCCTGGGGCCACTGGAGCGCCCCCAGCGGCAAGCCCCTTCCCATCTTCCAGCACATTTTTCTGCTGATTGCCCTCCCCTCTCCTCCTCCACCCCTGCCCTTCTCCCCCAGGGGCCCAGGCTGGAGTCAGGAGGGATAGAACACTCAGAACACATCACTGGGTGCATTAGGAAGCCCAAGGGCTGTTTTGTTCTGTTTTGGTTTTTTTAGAGGCTTTATTTTTTTTAGAGCAGCTTTGGGTTCATAGCAAAATTGAGTGGAAGGTATAGCAATTTTCCATATACTCCAGCTCCACACACGCATGGCCTCCCCCATTATCAACATCTCAAGGGCTGTTTTTTACAGATGAGACCATGGCCATTGCTGATTTTCTCTGCCAACCCAGGAACCACTGAGGCCTATCATCTCATTATTGCTTTTCTTTCAGTCGACTGACTTGGAAAAATTAAACATACACTGTATTCCAAAAGGGAACTGTATATCACCACTACAGATGGAAAACCAGCATCACTGGCCACGAATAGAAGAGAAACAAAAATCAATATGCGACGAAAGTTAGAAGTGTCTGTGGTGTTTCAGGAAAACCAACCTCACGGCTTGGGTGGCAGGCCTACCACATTTGGGGAAACTCTGGACCGGAAGAGGGAATCCAGCCCCGCTTGGGTGTGTTTGGGACCCTTCAGGCCGAAGTCCCAGAGAGGTCATCCCTGCTCAAGCTGCCCCGGACCCCCTTGGTACATGCCACGGTTGGACCAAACTCACAGGTCGAAGATCAGGTAATGGTGTCCCTCCTCAGAGATGCTGTCGTGGAGTCGGACTGTGGGAGGGGCCGAGGAGGTTGATTACATCAGGACACACTGCTCCCCACCCTGCCCTCCCTCTCACCACTTGTACAGCTGACATCCCAATTTCCCACCCAGCCACTGAGAATAGAGGAAAGGCCTCTGTTTTGGTCAAAGCTTGGTCCCCTTCTCTCTCCAACCCTCAGTTTTGTTGCTGGGCAGGCCAGAGTCATAGAAAGAGTGTGTGACTGCAGTCTCTGTCCTATACTAGCTGTGTGACTTCAGGCAAGTTGCTGGGCCTTTCTGAGCCTCTCTTTCCTTGCCTAGACAATGAGAATGAAACTCCTGAGCTTGCAGGCTTGGTGTGAGAGCTCTATGAGGCACACCATCAGTGCTCACTCAGTGCTGGCCCTGCTCTTCTCCCAGGTCTGAGGAGATAATAGAGCCCTGGAGGCCGGAGGCAGGAGTGACAGCGGTCCCTGGGTTCTGAGTGCTGAGAAACTGTCATCTCTTCACACCTCATTTACCACCAACAGAGGCAAAGTTCCCAGGAGTCTAGAGCTCCTAGAATTACCCCCTGAGCTTTTGAAAGGAAGAGCCTGAGGCCTGGGGCTGACTCTGGGGGCTGCACCCCGTCAACCAAGAGCAAGTTCTCACAGGACAGAGCTCACATCTTTCCCTCCACCACAACCTAAAACTGTCCACGAGAGGGGTGCTGGCTCAGTGAATTATGATCCATTGCACAATGGAAAATTACACAGCTGTTAAAATAATGCGGCAGTTATGTATCCACTGGTTCAGAATCATCTCCAAATTATGCTGTTTGGTGAAGAAGCCAAGTGCAAAACAGTATGCATAGTACTTTTTAGAAAGGATATATTTAAGCTTATGTATGGCATAAATCTCTCTGGGAGAATACAGAGAAGCAGGCATTGGGGGTGCCTTTGCGGAAAGGAATTGGGGGAGGAGGGGTCATGGGGAGAGACCTACTTTTCACTTTAAACCCCAGTGCCATCTGAATTTTTGCCATGTGCATGTATTTCTGACTCAGTACTGAGTCCCCTGAATTGTTTATGGCTCTCATATTTGCACGTAAGGTTTGGAGAATGGACTGAGAAACAGACATCAAATACCCTCAGGGAGCGGGCGTTTACAGGGGAAGGAAGATGGGACCAGGGATGGAGAGTGAAGGGGACACAGATTTAAATAAACATTTTAAAACATTCTTAAATGATGACACATATTTATAAATAATAATTGAAAGATGTTTTAAATATATTTCAAAGCAAAATCTTAAGAGCACATATAAGCCTACTTTAATTTCGTATCAACATTTTATCATATAAAATCTCAGACATACAGTTCAGTGAATACCCATATATCCACCATGTAGATTCTATCATTAATGCTTTTCTATTCTTGCTTTGGATACATTTCTATCCATTTCTCTGTCCATTAACTATTTTAATTTTTTAGTGCATTTCAAAATAAATTTTTAAATGTACATTTAATTGTATTTTCTGTCTGTGCCCTGCCCAGATCCCCTTTAGTGAGCTGGTACATCCATCCCCCAGCTGCTGGGAGCATTGGCTGCTAACAGCACCCAAATCCTTATCTCAGGCTCTGCTACTAGGAAACCTGACCTGAGATGATATGTGTAGGTGCACTTGAGCAGGTACATACATTATATGTCATATGGAAGTGTATATCATAAAATGTTAGCTCTATATGGTAAGTTACAGGAGATACTTTAAAAAGTATTTGCCTTCAGGGCCAGCCCACGGCTCATTTGGGAGAGTGTGGTGCTGATGGACCAGGGCTGCGGTTTCGGATCCCTGTGTAGGGATGGCCAGTTAGCTCATTTGGAAGAGCGTGGTGCTGACAACACCAAGTCAAGGGTAAAGATCCCCTTATCGGTCATCTTTATAAAAAAAAAAAGTATTGCCTTCTCATTTATCTACAATAAACTTGCATTATTAGTGTGTCAAATTAAAGTTTTGAAATAGACTCTCTCCTATCCCTGTCTTCCTCCAAGTGGACTCTTGGGGAGTGGATCCCTCCTGTCTACTCTGGCCTTTAACTTCCCTGACTGTGAGAAGCTCTGAGAAGCCAAGATGCAGCCAGAATCATCTCAGAAAGGGCTTTCAGAACTGGGTCAACAGCCCTTTGGAAGGAGCCCCAAGAAGGCTGGGATCTCAGATCCACCCTCTGACTAGAGCCTTTGCTCTTTTAGAAAATGTCCTTGGGGCTCAGAGAAATGGACAGAATTGGGGGAGGTTTCCACCAGAGCTGCCTCTCACTCAGCTGGTGACTTTATGCTGATTATAACGGGCTGCTTCTCTGAGCAGCCAGGCAAGAGACATATGGCTGGATTTCACCCCCAACTTGGGCAGTGCACCACCTGCGCAACGGTATTGGCGTCTGCTTCGGTCCCTGAGAGGTGGCAGAATCACACCACAGACCTCAGGACTCCTTATTTCAGTGCTGTTTTTGCACACAAAGCTCTCCTCCCATCAGTGGAGGCTGCCCTAAGGAACATCTCAGCCAGAGCCTCAGAGCAAAAGCAGGATTCAAGGGCCACAGCCTAACTGTTCTGCTTCCTGGTGGAGCGATTGACATGTCTGTGGCCATTGAGTTATGCTGTCACTTTTGACTTTTTAAAATATTGTCATAAAACAAACAAATCTGTGACCTAGTTTTCATTCATGTGGCTAGTTTCATAAATGTCTGACATTCCTGTGATATTTCCAAAAGTTACAGTCTTTTTCTTGGAAGTTGAAGGGTAGTACTTTCCTTATCTGTGTGTCCCCTGACACTTGTGATGTCCACTTGGGAAGTTAAATAGAATGATGAGAACATGGGCTCTGGGGTCAGACTTGCTGTGTTCACCTCCCAGACCTACCTTTTACAAGCTGTGTAACTTTGGGCAAATGACTTAACCTCTCTGAGCCTCCATTCCTAAAGTGGTGCCAATACCATTGGACTGCTATGGGCAATTGATGCAATGATTCTTGTAAAGAATTTAGCACAGTGTGTGGCACTATGAAGAGTTCAATAAATGAAGACATCATCATCATCATCAGCAACCACCACACTTCTCTTCCCCAGCCCAAATCACCTACTAAACTCTCAGGTTGTCCCTAGCACAGACCAGGTTCTCTGTGCCCTCAGGTGGCTTCCGGGGTCTGCCCCATTTGGAGGTGTTTATGGTACAGTTAGACTGACCTTTGCTGAGCCAGGGACTTCCCTGACCTGGTTCCCTTGAGGCTGGGTGGTGACCACACATAGGCAGCAACCAGTAACCTTGTTTGGATTTGCCAAGCAAGCTGAATAGGACTCGGTCTAGTTTCTCTAGGAACAGACTCATCTGTAATGTTCTGCACCCACACTATACCTCTTTGCACTTCTTTGGGATTACAACCTGCTTTGAAGTGAGATGCTTGGAAGATCAGGAAAGTGCACCCTGCAAGGGCCCTTCCAGCCCTGGCAATAGCTCCAGGCTCCTCTGAGGACTTTCCTGTGCTAGATGCCCAGTCTGCTCCCCAGTACCCTGTGCAGCAACCACCCCACCCCAACCCCACCCCATCATTTCTCCTGCACATCCTCAGTGTTTAGCGGAGGCCTTGGCCCATGGTGAGTCCTTGACATCAGGTGAATGAATGAATGAATAAAAGAGCAAATGACTCAGTGACGATGATGTCTTCAATGATCAATGAAGATGATGGCTACCATCTTTGAGTTTTTACCCCATGCCAGGCTTCGTGCTGAGTGCTCTACTTGTATGATCTCCTTTTGCCTACCCAACAGTCCTAAAAGGTTCCCCACTACACAGAGGAGGATACTGAGGTTCAGAGAGGTTCACAGCCCGCCCAAGTTCAAACACCTAGTAAACGGCAGAGCTGAGATTGAAACCTGGTGTGTCTGACTGCAAAACCCATTCTCTTAGGCACTGTGTATATACAGTGCCTCCACTGATGGCCGAAAATCTTGATGGCTCAGAGGAATGATAATCTTATGGAGTTTCAGGCAAGAGGATATCTTCAGGTAAGGTTGCTCTGTGGGAGGGTGCAGATTGGGGAAGAGGGCGGATAGCTTAATGATAATAAAGCACTTGTCTTGGGACTGTCATGGTACCATGCTCTATTTAATCATCATAATCCTATGAGGTAGATATCATTTCCATTTTCCAGATAAAACTGAGCTTCAGAGTGGTTAAGCCACATGTCCTGAGTCACACAGCAATTAAGCAGCAAACCAGGATTTGAACTGCAGTCCGTCAGCCCCAGAGCCAATAACTTACTGCTCCCCATTACAGCTGGGAATGAGAGGGAGAGAAAGGCACAGATAGGAGGAGGGAGTGTTGACCTGAGATATCTGCAACTGTGCAGCAACATACACCACACACACACACACACACACACACACACACACTCCCCGCCTCCTGCCTCGACTGACAGCCTTCATAAGAGCCGTGGGATTTTCCAGCTGGAGACCACTCACAACCCCTCCATCATACAGCTGGGGAGGTGAAGGCCTGAAGAGGGCAGGAACTGCACGAGGCCACACAGTAAGGACATTAGCAGGTCAGGGACCAGGGTCCAGCCAGGGTTCCTCCCAGCCAGCCACCTTGCTGCCTTTTCTCTGATGCTGGCCCTGGAGCCTCTGGCTGCTGTTTGTGCAGGGAAGGGGAGGTGCCTTCAGGGTATAAATAGCAGATGGAGATGCTTCTCTCCAGCAAGAGAGTTAACCCTTGGGGCCCTGGGCACAGACTGCTTCCCTCCTGAGGGAGAAGGGGTGGTGGCTGTCAGAGTTGGAAGGGACCTTAGAGAGCGCCTAGACCTTGCTCCTCAAAGCATGGTCTATGAATCAGCAGCCTTGGCATTGCCTCAGAGTCTGTGAAAACTACAAAATCTCAGGCCCCATTCCAGACCCATTGAATCAGAATCTACCTTTGCACAAGATGCCCGAGGATTAAGGAGCAGCAGCATCAGTCCAGACAGGCCCCTCCTTGTAAAGATGGGGAAGAGTAGCTCAGAGAGGACAGTACCCCTGCCCCAGGTCACACAGCCATTCCCTCACAGCACTAGATCTAAACACCACACTTCCTCATGACTCAGAACCCTGACAGGCAGGGATCAGGCCCCCAGTTGCACAGGGCTGGAGGAGGGAGGGCAGGCAGTGAGGTAGTATTTCAGTCCCCATGGGTGCTGCTGCCCTGGCTCGTCCTAGCCTGTTGTGAGCCTGGCCTCTCCCTGCAGCCTGCACTCAGTCTCCCCTGGGGGCAGGGGCTGAGTTGGAGTTGGCCTCTGAGAGGCAGATGGGCGGCAGGTCTGAGCAGGGCAGGGCCACGGTACCAGGCTGACTCAGCACAGGGGTAGGCTTGGGAAGTGGGCCCCACCAGTGATGGCCAAGCTTTATCCCCCAGCCTATTTTCGTCTCTCTCAAGCTTCAGTTTTCCTGAAACAGCTTTTCTGAAGGAGGCTGCCGGCAGTGTGGGATGGGAGGAAGGGCCTTTCTTCACCTTCCCCCGAAACAAGCTGGTCTCTGAGGAATGTGGAAACCATTAAAGGCTCCCTCTTTCCCATCTCTCCTGCTTCCATCCCCAGAGAAGAGAGCAACTGCTTCCCACCCCACCCTCAAACACCCCCGTGCCAGGATGGCCAGCCCCACTTCACCCTCACTGGCTTCCCAGGGCTCACCGATGTTGGGGTGTTTCAGCAGGCGGCAGATGCGGGCTTCCCGCTCTAGCTTCTGATGGTCTGAAACACAAGTGCTCAAGTGAGTCCAGGTGGGGGAGGAACCTCCCCCTCTCCCTCTCCCTCCTCCCTTACAGCCTCTTATTATCCCCACCTCCCAGGCAGGGCTCCCATGGGGGCTGCTCAACTTTGGCCAGGGCCTCTGAGTTCTCCAGGAAGGCATGGGGAGGCAGTGGAAAGAGGGAGAGGCCTGGTTGCAGTGACCCTCCCCATCTGTGGGTCTCAGTTTCCAGGGCTCTCAAGCCCCTTCCTGTGTAAGATCCAAGCTCCATGAAGCCTGGAATGCCCTGCAAGTTCTGTCTTCTGCTGTCCCCTCCTCCAGGCCCACCCCTCATGCCCATGCTGCAGCCAGACTGAACAGCTGGATTTCACTTCTCCAAGCATGCCCTGCTCAGCCCTCTCACTTTGGGAGAGAGCCACACATTCAGTTCTCTCAGCTTGGAACATTCCCTCTCCACCTCCCACCTGTCATTCTCTAGCCATAGCTCACTTCTACCCATCCTTAGATGTCACCAGCTCCTGTGCTCTCAGGGCCCCTGGATAGCATGTTCCACTCTGTCTCATGGACATCTGTGTCCTTGAGGGCAGGGACTTGATCCTTGTTATAGCTCTGACATTTACCTGAATGCCTGGCACTTAGCAGATGCTCAAGAATTAACTGAATGAAAGAACAAATGATTGAATGAACGAACCTTTCTAAGGGAGTGGCTGTTCTCTCCAGAAGAACTATATTAATTCCCAGAAACCAACTTGCTTATAGAGGACTCTGGGACCTGGGACACAGAGAGCCCCAAAGAGTCGGCAGGGTAGCACTTGTACATGGCAGCCTCGGGGCTGACCCAGAGCTCTCACACCTGCCTGCCAAGACGGCTGTCCCTGGGTCTCCTCACCCACCTGGGAGAGAGGTCTTGTTCAGGATCTGTCACCTGTGGTCTTTGACTGTCAGGCTGCTGGGAACGGTCATACCATGACCCCACCCAGTCCCCCCCAACAACCCTGGGTGGTGGGCATCACTGCCCCCCTTTTATAGATGAGGAAATTGCAGCTTGGGCAAGCTGAGGCCCCAGGAGTGGCACGGCTGGAACTGAAAATGCATCCCCAATTCCCTTTTGGTGCTTTTCTCACAAGTCAGTAGTTAATGCCTTAATTTAAAAAACAAAATAGTCAAAAAGAAACTACTAAGAAGAGTAGAATATTTACTATGTGCCAGGCCCTGTGCGGGGTAATTTATATGCCTTTCACGCCCTCACAACAATCCCGTGAGGGAGTCACTGTTATTATTCTGGCTTTGCAGAGGAGGAAACAGAGGTTCAGAGAGGGTAAGTGCCTGGGCCAAAGTTGCATCTGTGTTAAGCGGTGAGCAGAGGAGCTGCGCTTTGCCCGCAGGCAGTCAGACTGCAGAGCTGGGCTCTAACCACCACCCCTACTAGCCCCCAGTTCCCGAATGTGAAAGTCATGGCCCACAGAAGGGAACTCAGAGGCAGGACTAGAACGCTGGCCTCTGAATGGCCCCTCCAGAGCAGGCAGGTACCAAGGATGGTGGTGAGGACGGAGTTAGCACCAGCCCTTGTCCCAGGCACCCAGCTCCGCCTTCACCCTCTTCTAGAGCAATCACTCGCTGTCCTCCAGGGGCTGCAGAAGCCAAGATCAATACTGAAAGGTGGCTTTTCCCTTAGCAAAGCAATTAAGTTCAAACTCTGTTTTCATAGGCTCGACTCCTCAGCTGAAGACCAGCTGCGGGCTGGGGAAGGGGAGGGGGGCCAGGTTGGGGGCATACCCTTAATTCCCCCTCCCTCCCAGGCCTCCTTGCATGTCCTCCAGGGCAGGGGATGCTGATTCCTGAGCAGAGGAGTGGGGTCCCCTCAGTGGTCTGAGAAAGGCTGCACCCTCTCCCTGCTTCACACCCTGTGCCCCACCCCACTCCATCCCACCCGCAGCAGAACCAGAAATCTGGCGAGGGAAAGTCGGGCTTGTCAGAGGGGGCAGGAGACCTCTGGCCTAGGCTATACATTCAGTGAGGGGGGGGCCCCAAATACAGAATTTTAATGTTTTCTCCATGTGAGATTACCCAGAAGCAGAATTACGTGGACAGAATTCAGAGAAAACGTTGGTCACACAACTTTAAACTCGTATCTAGTTAACAGACCTCACTGCTGAAGATGCTAGGAACTAATTGTTTTTTAAAATCTTGTAATCATCTTGTGCATAGTAAATTACCCCGCATTGTAACTTTCACTGCTAAAGGCATTAATTTGTTGAATGTAAACATATACATTATAGTATAATTTTTGTAGCCCTGTTTGTAATGTTTTCATTTTCTCATATACTGAGAACATTGAGATATGTAGGGATCACATTCGTCTTGACCTCTGAGGCCTTGCTCTGTTACATAGATGGGGAAACTGAGGCCCAGTGATAACGGAGCAGTCCCTTCACCAAGATCACTTGGCAAGGTGGTCAAGCCTTTTTAGAACTCAGAGTTCTGAGGACCCGACTTCTGGACTCTGCCCCCTCTCCCCACCCCAGCCAGTTGTCCACACCAAGGAGTTCCTTAGCTCCAGCAGACAGGCGGGCACAGGGTTCTGGCAGGAGGCACCTGAGCCAGGGGAGAAAAGAGACCTCAAGCTTGGGAACAGGAAATGCTCCTTCCCTTCATAGGGCATCTATACGTCTCCCAATCCTGGGAAATTGGAAAAATAATGCTGAAGACCAAGAGTGCCAGGCAAAGGGTGGAGAGAAGGAAGGGGAGACAGGAACCAGGGGTCTCCACAGAGGCTCCCTGTCAGGGATGTGACTGAAGTTCAGGTGCAGCCTGGATGAGCTCCTGCCATGCTTCCTGCCCGGTATCTGGGGGCTGGTCCCTGGAGAGCTGAGGAAGTGACCCTCCATGGGGCCTGTAGGGGTTGCAGTAGCCCAGCCAGTCACTTCTGGCTGCAGCAGCCATGTTCATGTGCCCAGCATGCCCTAAAATGTTAACACCTTCTGTGTGTGCCTGGGGAGGCAAAGTCGAGGGGCACCTGGTGGGAGTTAGCCCTGAGCCTAAATCAGCTATCATTCCTGACTGCAGAGTTTTTAAAATGCAGGAGCTTGGGCCTCACCTTGTGAGTCCAACCCTCAGGGGTGGCATTCAGGCAGCTGCATTTTTTAAAAGGCTCCCAAGGAGATTCAGCAGGAATTGGGACAGGCAAAATTTTACTTTTCATTTAATTTCTTCATGGTTTCTTTGAATTGTGTATACTAAAGCATTTTTTAAAAGACTAATTTAAAAGTGCATATAAGAGTATCTCTCGGATTTGAGAACCCCTTGCTAGAAGAGGCTGGGCCGGGTGGGGAAAGGGAGGCCACAGATCCCTGGGAGGGGTGGACAGATGCCATGGGTGGGCACAGCCCCTGCTGGGAGCTGCGGGAAGTCACCCAGGAGTGCCAGCAGAAGAAGTTTAGAGTTTGTTGCCAAATATCCAGTACTAAACCCCCCAGAGGCACCATGAGTGGCAAACAAAGAAACCTGCTAAAAGCAGCTCTGCTCCTCCTCTCCCGCTGGGGAGAAGAGCGCCTGGCAGTTGGCAGACTTCTTCAGGAAGTTTCCCTATAACCTCCCCACCCCCACCACCACACTCACTTGGGCCTGGTCACATCCTGCGGAGGACAAAGATTCAACAAATTGCCAAGGGGAGGGCGCTTGGGTGGTTACTGCCCAGCTTAGCGCAGAGTCTACACTGTCCTGGGAATGCTTAGTCACCTTCCAGAACAGAAGTAATGGCCTTCCACTCTCTCACACACATCTGTCTCTTTCGAGGTGTGTGTGTGTGTGTGTGCGTGTGTGCGTGTGTGTGTGTGCGCGCGCGCGTGTGTGTGTGTAGACGTGTCCTCGTGTGTAGAGAGTGTGGTGAACTGGCCCAAGATCCCCAGCATCCAGGGAGGAGCTCAGTTCCTGACCCTACCTCTTCTTGGGGCAAACTCAACTCGTCATCCCCACTCTGTGACTCTGGCCCTGTCCCCACTATACCTCAGGGATTGAGATATCTTTCTCAATCACTAGAGACACAAAGCAGAGAGGGCAGCAGATTGCCACTAGTCACACATCAATGGCAAGGCCAATCCAGGCCTTTGGACGGGCTGCAGTGCTCCTGCCAGCCTTCGTGCCACCCTGGCTCCCTGCCCAGGATCTGATTCCAGACTTCCACAGTTCCGGCCTTTCCAAACTGTCTGCCATGTGAAGGCTCTGGGCCTACAGAGACCCCCACACCACCCCTAGCCTCCCCTCTGCTGAGCCTCTTCTTCCTGCAGGACACTGGGGGAGGTTGGTAACCAGGAGAAAGTGCAGAGCTTCCAGCAACACTGAGCCAGAGAGATGAAAGGCAGCAACACACTGTCCAACATAGGGCCTGCTGGGAGGTCTGCCATGAGCAGCATGAACATCCTGTACCAGCCACTGTGCATGCCTCCATGAACCCCACACCTGCTGGGCCCTGGCCGAGACAGCCGCAGCCTGTCAAACACCTGGACACTGTACTAGCCCCTCCCATGACATCTCCCACGCTGCACAAGGCTGCACAGCCCACACCTGCGCCCACCTCATCCAACACAATTCCTTCCACCACGAGGCGGTTCCCATGGAAGCTTATACACTGTTTTATTGGGATGGGGATTGGCATCTTTGAAGATAATCCTCTCCAACACATCACACTGTGGTCACCACCACTACTGCCCTAACACAGGCTACTGGCAAGAAGCGAGTCTCCTGGGCAGGCTTTCCAAACTTTAATGCTCATATGAATCTCCCAGGCATCTTGTCAAGATGCAGGTTCAGAATCTTGAAGTCTGGAGTGGGGCTCAAGGCTTTGCATTTCCAACAATCTCCCAGTGATGCTGCTGGTCCCGGACCACTTCTAATGTCCTAGGTCAGAGGTTCCCAAACTGGAACTATGTGGGTATCTTTTCCAAAATCCAGGCCATAGCCCATACCAACTATTTAGGGACCAGAGAGTGGGCTGGTGTGGTTGAAGCAGAGCCCACCTGGAGTTCGATGGACACTCACTGAGCAAGTGGTGTTAGGCGCTGTCCTAGGTGCTGGGCACAAGGCTGTGAACGAGACCCAGCCCACACATGTGGTGCTTGCAGTCAGGAAGGGAGATGGGTGTGACACAAGGAAGCAAACCAGCAACTAGAAGCCTCAGTTGGGAGAAAGCCATGAAGGAAAGCAACAGTAATTACAGAGAGAAAATGGGGGCGACCCCTTCAAATGGGGGGGGCAGAGAAGCCTCTCAAAGGATGTGACATGGAGCTGAGATCTGAAGGTTAGAAAGAACCAGCCATGTAAGGAGCCAGGGCAGGGCATGTGGGCAGAGGGGCTAGCAAGAGTAGAGGCTTGGAGGGGAGCAGTGAAGGGGATGTCAGGAGAGTAGGGGAAGGAAGTCCCATCAGCACCTCGGCCTTCACCTGGTGGGGGCAAGGAGCTTGGCCTGTCTGGGAGAGGCTGTGGCCTCCAGTCTCAACTCCCAGAAAGGAAAAGGGGGATCTATTTTCATGACACCCTCAGGAAGAAGAGTCCCACCCATGCCATCAGCATCACCTAAGGGGACAGACCCGGGTCCTGGAGCTAAGCCAAGAAGGAGGGGATAAGGGAGAAGAGCCCCAGAGGCTGGGCAGGACATAGATTAGGCACCTACCCCTGGCTGAGAGCTTCTTGGTGTTGATGATCTTGGCAGCATATTCCTGGCCAGCCAGCACCTTCACACACCTGCGCACCACCGAGAAGGCTCCCCTAGGAGGACAGAGAAGGGGAGGAAAGTGAGGGAGGGCCTACGGCTGTGGCCCTGGGACATGCTGGGGTTCATGCAGCCATACCAGGCCAGGAAGGAGCCCTTCATCAGAGCTGCTCAGGCTCACAGGGCTGCTGTGCCCTGACTCCACCACAGAGCAGGGCCTGGAAGACCCAGAATATGGGCCCAGAAGCAGATCAGTAGAAATCTGGCCTCATGCAAGATGAGTCTTCCAGAGTCATTAAAAGTTAGGCTCCAAGATGTAAAACATTAGAATCATGTGGAATTAGAAACACGCAGTGTAGGTCTCTGAAAGTTTTTAAGTTTTTTATTCTTTGAGGAAGTAACACATTGACATGGTTGAAAAGACTCCATCTCACCCCTGTACCTTAGCCTCCGAGGTCCCCTCCCCAGAAGTGACCACTCTTGCCAGGTCCTCGAGTCTCTTTCCACAGATACTCTCCCACACACAAATGGTACTGGACTTTGCATGCTGTTCCACAGCCTCCTTTTTTCAGTAAATGATTTTGGAGATCCTCTTTCCAAATCATGACATAAAGAGCTCCTCACATAGTATGTAATTGTATGGCTGTCCTACACTTTACCTAGCTAGTCTTCTATTGATGGACAATTAGGTTAGTTCCAATCTATAGCCATCACAAACAGTGCTACAATGGCTTGCCTTGTATGTGTGTATTAGAATTACATTTCCTGTGTGTGAACATGTCTGTGAGATAAATTTCTAGAACTGGCATTATTTGGTCAAGAGTAGGTGTTGGTTGGCAAGTTTGATTGATAATGAGAGATTGTCCATCTTAGACACTGGACCAATTTACATTCCCACTGGTATGTGAGAGGACCAGTTTCTTCTGTCCTTGTCAACACAGTGTGTTATTAAACGTTTTTATATTTACTAGTAAGACAGGTGGAAAACGGTAACTCAGTATAGATTTAATTTGTAATTGTCATATTAAGAGTGAGGCTGAGCATCTTTTCATACTTTTTAAAAGTTTCCTGGGACTTTACCCTCCAAGTATGAATGATTAGAAGAGAATTTGGGTCAAGGGCTGTGAATTTCAAGGCTTGTGGTGGGAAACTGATTGTTGTCACATGGAATGTGGCCTATTTCACATCTCACTCGATTGTTCAAGAAAAAAGCTATAAGTCCAGACATTGATGAGAAATTTCTCAATTTTTAAATACCACACCTTATTCCAAAAGAATTTGTGCGTGTCATCAGGCCAAACAAAACCAGTCTGAGGGCTAGATCTAAGGTCTAGGTGCCATTTTGCACTCTTTACCACAAAGGCCACCTGGTCCAACCCCTTCACATCACAGAGGAGGCTCTGCAGGGGCCTAACATTGACCATAGTCATCACCACCATTGCTGCCCTAACCACATGCTAATGGCAAGGAGAGAGTCTCCTGGGCAGGCTTCCCAAACTTAAATGTCTATATGAATCACCCAGGCATCTTGTTAAAATGCAGATCTGATTCCCAAGTCTGGAGTGGGGCTCAAGACCTTACGCTTCCTTGCACTCCAGTGCAGCTCTGTAAATGGCTCGAGGTCACACAGCAAGTCCCAGGCAGAGCTGTGCCTAGAATGCAGATGTTTGCACTCCTGGGTTTTGACTGCCACACCAAGGGAGCCTCCCACTTCCTGGCGTGCTGAGCCATGCCCAGGTTCTTGACACAGCCACTCCCTGTCATCGCCTCCAATCTTGGATCCCCAGCCTAAGCTTACAGGCAGGTCCAAGCCACAAAGAAGAGGCCAACAGAAGCAGGGGAGGATGCTGGCAGGATCAAGGAAGCCTGCAGGCTGGCACAGATTCCTGCTCTGCACCCACCCCTGAGCACAGTATCACCTGCTTCATGTCTGGGCAGCAGGAAGTGAGCGGCTGGGAAACCATGGAGAAGGGTTAGGAAGAAAGAGCAGGGCGGGAACAAAGGACCAGAGAATATGACAGGAAGGCTGGAGAAGGCCAGAAGTCATGGGCACACGGATGCCCTCACATGGCACCGGCTCCTGCCCTGCGTGTGCAACCCTGCCTGGTCTTCATCAGAGAGAAAGCAGCTAGACCCCAGCCACCTTCCCGAGATGCCTCCCCTGCCACGGGGCCCCTCTTCTGTCCTCCCAGAGCCCTTCTGTATAAGAAAAACTCACTTTTCTTTACTCACTCCCACAACACTTCTGGCCACCAAATATGGGGAGGTTTTTTTAAGCCAACCAATTCTCCTACTCCCAGACACCAGTTGGGTGTCCTGCAGTTCAGTTATGACAATGACTACCTAGAGTTAGTGCAGACCCCACAGGTTAAGGGCTCAGTCCCACAAGACTACTTCCTTAATCTACATGCCAGGCACAAGGAGTGGGTCACCAGGTTACCCATACTTCTTTCCAACTTGGCTAGAGTTAGAGATTCCCATGGCCCTCTCCTCAGGATCAATAATTTTCTTTGACAGCTCACAGAACTCAGGAAAGCACTTACATTTACTGGCTTATTATACAATAAAAGATATGATAAAGGATACAGATGAATAGCGAAATGAAGAGGTAGATAGGGCGAGGTCTGGAAGGGTCCTGAGCACAGGAACTCCATCCCTGTGGATCTGGGGTGCGCCACCTCTCAGCACGAGATGTGTTCTCTAACCTGGAAGCCCTCTGAACCCCTTATTTCATGTAGACACTATTAATTATTAACTCAACGCTCAGCCCCTCTCCCCTCCCAGAGGATGGAGATGGGGCAGAAAGTTCCAAGCTTCTAATCACAGCTGGGTCTTTCTGATGACCAGCCCTGCTCCGGGAGCCACCAAGAGCCGCCTCATTAGAACAAAAGATGCTCCTATCACCCAGGAAATTCCAAGGGAGTTAGAAGCTCTGTGTCAGGAACTGAGTTCAAAGACAAAATATCAGAACAAAAGATGCTCCTAGCACCCCTATCCCTTAGGAAATTACAAGTTTTGGGAGTTCTGTGCCAAGAACCGGGGATGAAGACCAAATATATATTTCTTATTACATCACAATATCGCAGCCCACACCTCCCCACCCAGCCCAGGTTGGTGGTTGATCATTCACCTGTCTGTCTTCCCCACCCTGACAGTGAGTCCCTGAGGGCCAAGACTTTTACTTTCTTCTCTCTGCTGCCAGATCCCAGGTTCCCAAAGCCTGCTATCTTCATAAGTGTTACCTGCCAGGACAGGAGGTATATGTAAACAATAGTGAGAGAACCGAGACCAGGCAGGAGAGAGGACTGTTAGTCAGGGTGTTAAGAACAGGAACAGGCTCCAGAGGAAGGCGGGGCAAGCAGCCTGTCAGAGGTGCGCCCCCAGGCAGGGAGATCCCTGCGGAGTTGGGATGCTTCACCTGCCAGCATGTGGATGTGTTCACCAGCCTGGAATCTCTCCAAACCCCGTACTTTATGGTTCGTTATGGAGTCTTCCTCACGTACGCATACGCACGATCGATTAACTCAGTCCTCAGCCCCTCTCCCCTCCTGGAGGGCAGTCTCTGCCCAGCTGGAGGCCATGATTCTCAAAAGCCCTAGAGAAGAAAGCATTCAAAGTGGGCACATCTTGAAAGGTTCTGAGCACTCCAGGGAGAGGAGGGCAGGAAAGGAGGAAGGTTGTAAGCTCCTGAGTACAGGGGCTGGGTCTTGTCTTGCTCAGCAGCATGTAGCCCATGCTACATGCTGGAGCACAGGTCCAGAGCTAGAGTTCAGTGAATATGTTTTGGGGGATGGAGGGATGGAATGAAGGATGGAGGGGTAGACGGATGGAGGAATGGATGGACTGAGAGAGGGAGGGATGGATATAATTTGTCTATTAGAGAAACAAAACTTCATTCTAGGTAAAGACCTTAGATCTGTGGTTACTGAACTGGCTGCTTCAGGATCCCCCGGGGGAACTTTTTAGAATACAGATTCCAAGGCCACACCCAGAACCCCTGGGTATGGGCCCAGGGAATCTGTATTTCCATTGTAACATCCTCTCCAGTTGATTTTTTCTCAGCCAGCTTGGCACCGTCTTGCCCACCTTCTGGGGATGTCCTGCTACATATCCTTCCCCCCACCCCCCAGAAGTCAGCTCTGATGGGTCACCACACGGCTCTGTGCTAGGGCCTTGACAGGCCCCATGAACCTGGGCTCTGCCCATTGAGCCGACAGCCTAAGAGCCACATCTGTAAAACAAGAGAAACCACATTTGCTGAACTTCCTCAGAAAAGCACCAAGCCTTTGTGTAAATCAAAGGTCTCTAACTAGGGGTCCATGCCATGGGTGGGGCAGCCACAGGGGTCCTGAAACCCCTGAAGGACATCCTGTGTGTCTGAGTGTAGGTGTGTGCATTTCCCTTGGGCAAGGATGCATAGCTTTTATCGGGTGATCAGAGGGAGAGGTTTCTCAAAACCAGTTCACAGCTAAGGATCCAGAAGGTACCAGCCCCTCCTCACAAGCCCGGAAGGCTTCCTCCCTTCAGAGGCATATTCAGCATCACACTCCTTGACTCTCAGCAACTGTACAAAGTTGGGACTATGATCCCCCATTTAATAGATCAGAAAACTGAGGCCTCAAGTGAGCAGGCATATTCCTAGTGAGGCTATGAAGAGAATCCCGGTCACCTGTACTTTTTCTTCTGATTCCACCAAAGGCAGGAGAGTGTGGTCCTCAACAGTCACAAAGACCTGAGTTCCAATCCTATCTTGCCCTTAACTAACTGTGCAACATTAAACTCGGCGCTTCACCTCTCTGTTCCCTTCCCATAAGAGGGCAATAATAGCACTACCTCTGGGTCTGTTAGGGAGATTGGGTAACTCGTGCAGAACACTTGGCACAATACCAAGCACACAGAGCATAACAGGACATGATGGAGGCAGAAGGGGGGTCGAATGAGGCGAGGAGAGGACCTGGGCCAGGGAGCCCCTCTTTCCACCTATGCAGCCTCAGGTCTCCATCCATAGTGAACAGGCTTGCCCCTGCCTGCCACGGCAGTGGGCACGGGGGAGACG